TGCATAAGAAAGGACCATCTAATGTATCTCTCTGCTGGAGATGTAATACGGACAATGCTTCTTTGAAACATAGGCTTCTGCTATTTCACACACTGATTAGGTTTTGGGAGAAAGGCCGGGACTATATAAGCAATGCACTGCGGAAAAACTCAAGATTTTCAGAGGTGAATATGCTTTTGAACTATATACCCAATGTATGGAAATGGACAACAGGACAGTGAATTGGAAGAATAGAGATACAATTCCTCTTAATCAGTGGTTTGACAGCATGACAACATTGGCAACTTATTTCATACCCTTATTTTCATCTTTTTCATACCCTCCAACCAAAATAGGGACGTCCTATTCTATTATTATTATTATTATTATTATTATTATTATTATATTTATACCCTGTCCATCTGGGGCACAAACAGAAAAAAACATGTAGCATTGAAAAACTTCCCTGTACAGGGCTGCCTTCAAATGGCTCGGGGCTTGGATAACTCCATCCCCTCCAACATTTCTCCAATGAAAATATGGGCGTCCTAAGGAAAAGTGGGACATTACGGGATCAAATAAGAAACTGGGATGGCTTCTGTAAATCTGGGGTTGTCCCTGGAAAACAGGGAGACTTGGAGGGCCTGGGAACAGACAGCTTATGGACACATACATCCTTTGGATAAATGCAATTATATTGGGAATGGGTTCACACAGAGTATATGAGATTATTGGCAATTATATGTGTATTAGGATAATAAGAATATACACATCTGTATATTGATGCATGTCAATGTAACAGCGTTTTTTCTCCCCCCCCCCCAATTCACTCACTTTTTCCTTTCTTTTTCTCACTCTATGAAATCCATCTATTAATAAGAAGGGGAAAAGAGGTCTCTGCTGCTTTTCCTTGCCTGCAGCAAAGACGGTTATGGCTGTAACAGCCTCAAGGAGGCTTCAGGTCTTGCCGCCTCCTTCCCAGGGGTCTCCAGCACAGCTGTGGGCAAAAGCCCTTTTGGAGATAAATTGTGTGAGGAGCCCATAAAGTTCATTCTTAACAGCTGCTTTCTTTGTTGGCTCCCTGACCCCAGCACTGCCTCCGACGCTGAGCTCATCCCCTCCAGCCAATAACTGCGAGCCTCGTTGTCATTCCTATGCAAACTGATTTATTTTTGGTCCCCTGGCACCCCAGCCCCAAACTCCCCCCGGCGGATTCTCGCCTGGCCCGTCTCAGTAGCACTTCCGGTGGACGATGTAGGGGCCGTGTTCGTGATATTGCTCCTTCCGGATCCAGCATGGCTGAAAGTTCTTCAGGGAAGCCAGGATGGACCCCCCAGTCCAAACAGAGTACTTCCTCAGAGGGATGGCCGTGACTTTCACTTTCGTGTTGGTGGGCACAGCCACCATGAGGTCGTGCAAGAACCTCTTCTCGAACCCCTCAAAGAGGGACGAGCCACCACAGAGCATGATGTTCTCGTACATTTCCTTCCGGGATTCTTCGGGGACCTTCCGGACGCTTCTCAGCGCCATACCATGAAGCCCCAAAAGGTTCAGTCCGGGCATCTGCGGAGGGTTGAACAACATCTCTGGACACTGGAATCTCTCTTTGCCCAGGCTGATGATCTGGCCATCGGGCAGCTGGTAGTCTGCCATGTACTCCCTCTTCGGACGGTTCCACTCGGTCTCAAAATCAAAGGCCACATAGCAGCATTTTTGCTTCATGTCGTCAATGACATCCAACATCCTCTCGTCAAAGTAATGCCCCATGTTCCTCAGAAGGTCCATCAGGAAAGATGTCATGTTGGCGCCCGCTATGTCCATCCTCTCGGTGGCGTGGGGCAGATTGTACCCTTGGTGGACAGGGACCGTGTGGGATGTGGCATGTCCCGTGTCCACTACCAAACCGCTGATCTTGCCGTGGGCGTACACCGACAACACCGACTGGTACGCCACGTACATCCCGGGCGAGTTGAGCGACTCAAAGACCACCTCCACCAACTTCTCCCTGTTGGTCGTGGGGCAGAGCGGAGGGTCGGACATCAAGAGGGCGTGGTCTTCCGGAGCAACCTTGAGGTCGTGGTAGAACAGGTGCCTCCACAGAACTTCCGCCGCGTCCCAGTCAATGATGATGCCGTGCCGGACGGGCAAAATGATATCGACGTCCGGCTCTAACCGCGCCCGCTCCCCGACAAAGGTATCCGGCCTGTCTCTCCTGGTCCTCATGGACTTCTCGGTGGGGTGCCCAACCAACGTTCCGATGACCGCCTGAGGAGTCTGTTGACCTGCGAACCCCGCTTTACATGTCCCTGTACCTGTATCGATGATTACTGCTCCTGTCTTCACAACTGAGCGCCCTCTTTCCGGAGTATTTGACCGAGGAGCTTCTTTGGAGGATGCCCGCGATCTGGACGAGCGGTCCAGTGTGTATCCCGGGGATGCGTTCCTTGTTCCAGCACGTCCTGGGCTGACCGGCCTCGACCCGGGGCTCTTTGATCGTGAGGATGCCGGGCTCCTTGTCCGTGAAGGGCCGGGGCTGGTTCTCCTGGTACTCCTGAATGACATCTTGAACGGGCCCTGGGGATACCCCCTTCTTCAAGGTCAGCCACTGAGCTACAACACAGAGTGCCCTGCAGAATTCTGCCTCACTCTGTCACAAAGGGAACTATGACACCACACCAGCTCCTTGGGTGACGTGGCTCAGGACAGGCCACGTGGTCTTGGCCGGCTGCGATTGCCTCCCTCCGACCATCGCTCAAAGCGCGAAACCTGGGCGTTCAGTCCATCCCACCGCTGGTCGTCAGGAGGCTCTGAATTGTTCCGCGAGAGACAATGGGTGGCAGGCCTGGAATCCTGGAATCTTCGGTGCAAGATGACCTTTGGGTCCCTTGCAACACTATGATTCCATGAACATGGAACACCACAAGTCATGTTCTCTCCTGAGTGAGTGGCGTCTCAGGGCTTCACATTTGTATCTGGAAACACAGATAAGTGATGGTTTCTCCATCCACAGCTGGGGGCAGGAAACACCTCGGGAGTTGCAGCTGCTGGGAATCGCAATGCCCTGTTGCACTCAGGTTCTGTTTGCGGGCTTCCCTTTGGGGTATTTGGTTCTTAACGGATCTCTCAGCGGCTGTCGACCGCAGTTTCCTCCTGGACTGTCTAGGAGGGCTGGGAGCTGGGGGTCGTGTTCTGCAGTGGTTCCGCTCCTTCCTCCTGGGCCATGTCCAGAAAGTGGTGTTTGGGGGTGAGTGTTCAGACCCCTGGGCTCTCACTTGTGAGGTGCCTCAGGGTTCTGTCCTCTCCCCCATGCTTTTCAACATCTACATGAAGCCGCTGGGAGAGATCATCAGGGGGTTTGGGTTGGGTGTCCATCAATATGCAGATGACATCCAGCTCTACCTCTCTTCTGAATCAGAACCAGTGAAGGCGGTGAAGGTCCTGTGTGAGTGTCTGGAGGCGGTTGGAGGTTGGATGGCAGCTAATGGATTGAGGTTGAATCCTGACAAGACAGAAGTACTGTTTTGGGGGGACAGGAGGTGGGCAGGTGTGGAAGACTCCCTGGTCCTGAATGGGGCAACTATGCCCCTGAAGGACCAGGTGTGCAGCCTGGGACTCACAGCTGTCCATGGAGGCGCAGGTCAATTCTGTGTCCAGGGCAGCTGTCTACCAGCTCCATCTAGTACAGCGGCTGAGACCCTCCCTCCCTGTCTCGCCAGAGTGGTCTGTGCCCTGGTTATCTTCTGCTTGAACTACTACAATGTGCTCTCCATGGGGCTACCTTTGAAGGTGACTCAGAAACAACACCTAATCCAGAATGTGACTGCCAGACTGGTGACTGGGAGCGGCCACCGGGACCATATAACACCAGTCCTGAAGGATCTACCTGGCTCCCAGTATGTTTCCAAGCATCATTCAAAGTGTTGGTGCTGATTTTTAAATCCTAAACAGCCTTGGCCCAGTATACCCAAAGGGGTGTCTCCACCCCCATTGCTCAGCCTGGACCCTGAGGTCCTCCTCCGAGGGCCTTCTGGTGGTTCCCTCGCTGCGAGAAGTGAAGTTACAGGAAACCAGGCAGAGGGCCTTCTCAGTGGTGGCACCTACCCTGTGGAACATCCCCTCCCATCAAATGTCAAGGAAATAAACAACTATCTGGCTTTTAGAAGGCATCTGAAGGCAGCCCTGTATTGGGAAGTTTTTAATGTTTGGTGTTTTATTGTGTTTTTATATGTATTGGAAGTTGCCCAGGGAACAGGGTGCTGGATTTGATGGGCCTTTGGCCTGACCCAAAAGATCATTGTTATAGTAACATCCTTATGTTCTCCTTCATGGATACAGAGTGAGTCAGAGACCCACAGGCCCATTTAGTAGGCATTATGTACGCTGACTAACAGCAGCACTTTAGGATTTTAGACAAGGGGACTCCTCTCTGGAGACCCCCAGGATCAAACCTGCGACTTTCTGCATATCCTAATGGGGGCCTCCTTGACCCAATCCAACAGGGAACTGCTGATGTTCTTTGGACAAATTCACAGAGGGCCAGCAATGGCTACTACCTGCAGTTTCAGAGGTGGTCTGTCTCTGAGCACTAGCTGATAGGAATGTAGCCGGGAAAAGTTACTTTTTTAATTATCCAATGAAGGCAGATTTTGGAAAATTCAGGACCAGTAAAGGAAAATGCTTCTTCAAAGTGCCTGCCACAAATCTGGATCTTGGCATCCAGGAATTTGACTTTTTTATACCCATTTTTTCATTGCCACAACAATCCATCTGCAGCTGGGTAAGGCTGGGAAACCTGAGAGACGCTGCCAGTCAGTGTAGACAATACTAAACTAGACAGACCATTAGCCTCAGAGGGTACAAGGCAGTTTACTATAGTCCTAACGCGCTGAACATAGTTAAGGCAACAATGTCTTAATTTTGCCAGCAGGTGGCAGGAGTGAATCAATCACAATCCCACCAAAATGAAAAGCTGTTAATCAGGGTTTCCCAAAATTAGGTCTCCAGCTGTTTGGGGACTACAAATCCCATACGGGGATCGAACCTGCAACCTTGGCGTTATGAGCACCATGGTGCAACCAACCGAGCTATCCAGGACATGATATGGCTTAGATGCAATTATCATCTATAGTGTCAGAAAAATGGTGGTGGACTCCTTCACTGCAGGTTTTTAAACAGAGGTTGGGTGGCTGTTTGTCAGGGATGATTCAGCTATCAATCCAGCATTGACGGGGGGTTGGGCTAGATGACCTAGAGGGGTCCCCTTCCATCTCAACAATTCTGTGATTCAGTGATTGGTGAACGTCTGTATCCCCTATTTTTGCTGTAGGAGTGTTAGAGAGGATGCTGGGTATGTTTAGTCTGGAAAAGAGGAGGCTGAGAGGAGATAGGAGAGCCATCTTCAGATATCTCAAGGGCTGTCACATGGAAGAGGGAGCCAGCTTGTTTTCTCCTGCTCTGAAGGGTAGGACTCGAACCCATGGCTTCAAGTTACAAGAAAGGAGATTCCGATTAAACTTCAGGAAGAACATTCTGCCAGTAAAGCCGTTCAACAGTAGAACAGACTCCCAAGAGAGGTGATGGACCCTCCTTCCTTGAAGGTTTTTAAGCAGGGGTTGAGTTTCCTACATTGCAAGGGGTTGGATTGGATGACCTTTAGCGGTCCCTTTCAATTCTGCAAGTCTGCGAGTCCACAGTTCCTACAGCAGGGACAGGGAACATTGATGACCCTCCTGGTGTGGTCAGACTCCAACCCCCAGCAGCCCAGAGGGATGATGGGAGTTGAAGTCCATCAGTATCTCCTGGTCTGCCCTGCGAAGGACCTCAAGGTCCACAAATGACAACACTCTGGAGGTCCCAAGTCACAAGGTGATTAGACTGGTCTCAACTAGGGCCAGGGCCTTTTCAGCACTGGCCCCGACTTGGTGGAACGCTCTGTCACAAGAGACCAGGGCCCTGCGGGACTTGACATCTTTCTGCAGGACCTGCAAGACAGAGCTGTTCCGCCTGGCCTTTGGTTTGGACTCAGTCTGACCCTTATGTTTCCCTCCCCTTATGGTCTTGATTTATCGGCTACTTTAAAATGAGGCTGCATTTTAAATTGCATTTTAACCTGTATTTTAAATTCCCCCCCCCCCCAATATGTTTTTACTGTAATTTTACTGGTGTTAGCCGCCCTGATCCTGGCTCTGGCCGGGGAGGGCGGGGTATAAATAAAATTTATTATTATTTATTATTATCTGGAGGGGAGCTGGTTGGGCAAGGCTGATCTTTATATCATGTTGTCAGAGTGATAGTAATTAAGATAGTAACAATAATAGTCAACTTACGGAGAACTTATGATCTGGAACGGATTCACCACTCCTGCGTGACACACCATTTTATTTTATTTTTGCTCATGCGTCTAATCCCTCCCAATTTGCCCTGGATCTCTTGCACGGCATCCCAGGGCATCCTTTCATGAAAAATTCACTTTCAGTTGAGCCACGCTCCATTTACTCTGCTCCCTCTTTCGTAGAATACGTAAGGATCAAAAGCATAGAAAGACACCCTTTCTCAACATAGCCGCCCTCCCCGAGGTCAGGAGAGGTGACTGGGAGGGCGGAAGAATGAACGGTATTTGCATTCTGAGAGGCAGAAAGCGTAAGAACGGCTTTCCGGATCAGGACTGAGGCTCATCGAGTTCAGTATCCCTTTCTCTCGGCGGCCAACCCACAAGCAAGATTTGATCACAAGAGTCGCACTCCCCTCCTGCGGCTTGCAGCAGCTGGGATTCAAAAGCATACAATGATAGAATTGTATAGTTGGAAGGGATCCTGAGGGTCATCTAGTCCAACCCCCTGCAATGCAGGATTCTCAGATAAAGCATGCAGGACAGATGGTCACCCAACCTTTGCTTAAAAACCGCCAAGGAAGGAGAGTCCACAACCTCCCAAGGGAGACCATTCCACTGTATAACAGCTGTTCATGTCAGAAAGTTCTTCCTGATGTTTAGTCGGAATCTACTTTCTTGAAATTTGAAGCCAGAGCAGGAGAAAACAAGCTCCTGCCTCCTCCATGTGGCAGCCCTTGAGATATTTGAAGATGGCTATCATACCTTCTCTCAGTCTCTTCTCCAGGCTAAACATACCCAGCTCCTTCAGCCGTTCCTCATCAGGCTTGGTTTCCGGACCATTGATCACCTTGGTAACCCTCTTCCAGCTTGTCAACATCCTTCTTAAATTGTGGCACCCAGAACTGGACACAGGACTCCAGGTGTGGTCTGACCAAGGCAGAAAAGAGTGGGACTATTCCTTCCCTTGACCCAGACACTAGACTTCTGTTGATGCAGTCTAGAATAGCATTCGCTTTTTTTGCTGCTGCATCACCCAGTTGACTCATGTTAAGCTGGTGTTGAGCGGCACCAAAGTGACTTCTCTGTGGCGCAAGCCTAGTAGTCAGTGTGTCTGGAGCTCCTGGGCTGATGCAGTCCAAAGAAAATCAGAGCAAGACGTTTGGCACCTGTTGCCGAAAGGAGGTGTACAAGGCGCCATCCAACTGCCTTAGGGACTCCCCAGAGTGGATTTGCGTAGGGCTTACTCCTGAGCCTTTTCTTCCTCCTGAAGATATCCTGCAAGGCAGTGGAGGTTTAGGGCCAGAGGTTTCCTTCTCCTGGATGGGCTCCCTTCCATGGATGAGCCCCATCTGCCCCTCATTTCTGTCTACAGCACAGGTAGGCAACCTAAGGCCCAGGGGCTGGATCCGGCCTAATTACCTTCTAAATCTAGCCTGCAGATGGTCCAGGAATCAGTGTGTTTTTACATGAGTAGAATGTGTCCTTTTATTTAAAATATATCTCTGAGTTATTTGTGGGGCATAGGAATTCGTTCACCCCCCCAATATAGTCTGGCCTGAGGGGGGGTGGACCGACCCCTTGCTGAGAAAGTTTGTTGACCCCTGCTCTACAGCATGGCCAGAAACCACCTTCTTGACCATTGGACCCCCTCTTGGTCACATCCACTCCATCCCTGGGGGCCTGTCTTTGCATGCAGGGGAAGCCCCTAACTCCTTGTGGGTTTGAGACCCATCAGCTCCCCTCACCTGGCTTTGCCGGCCAGTTGAAACCGTTCCCAGGATTGTGGCCGCTGTCACCTGCTGGCAGCTTCTAGGAGCCGCAGGTGAGAGCAGAGTGCAGGTCGGGAGACAACCCCAGAAAGAACCCAACATGACACCCACAAGAGGAGCTTTGTTGTTGTCTAGTTGTTTAGTCGTGTCTGACTCTTCGTGACTCCCTGGACCAGAGCACGCCAGGCACTCCTGTCTTCCACTGCCTCCCGCAGTTTGGTCAAACTCATGCTGGTAGCTTCCAGAACACTGTCCCACCATCTCGTCCTCCGTCGTCCCCTTCTCCTTGTGCCCTCCATCTTTCCCAACATCAGGGTCTTTTCCAGGGAGTCTTCTCTTCTCATGAGGTGGCCAAAGTCTTGGAGCCTCAGCTTCAGGATCTGTCCTTCCAGTAAGCACTCAGGGCTGGGGCTACCCCTCCTCTAACACCCCCACACCCTGCTCTCTATTTAATAATCATAAAAAGAGAGGGTTTGCCCTCCTAAGACAACAATCATATAAATTGAGGACTTTTGCCTCTTTTATATGGCAGTCATTTGGGGATTTAAAGATCAAGGAGTCTTAACTCAGAAACCAGATCTTCCTCTTCTGCCATTCCAGTCCCCTTAAGGCAAATAAATGTATGTTATTAGGACCTGACTCTCACGTCATCAGCTGCATTGTGGCGTAATGGATGTATGATTACCTCCGGGTTTCATTTGCTAGTAGGTCGGCTTTAGATTCCAGATATGCTTATACATATATACACACCCCATCTCAAGTTCGTTTTTCAGCTTGCTGTTTATTGATTGGCTTGTAAGAAATCGAGAACGTTTTTAAATATTGAGATCTTTTAGAAAACAAAGAACAATAATCATATCAATCGCTGACATACAAATATATATTATTTTGGAATCTGGTTCTCTCCTAAACCACAACCCCAGTTGTTTTTTTGGGGGGTGTGTGTGTGGAATTATCCTTCCAGTGTAGCAAACTTCATCACCTCTCCAAAAAGAGCAGCCCTTCTTTAAATAGAAAAACCATCCCTGCCGACAATCACTAAATATTGCTATTTTGTTTTAGGTAAAACGGGGCAAGAGACCTCCGGCTTGTGTGTCCCCCACCCTTAGGACTCTTTCTGGGGTCACAGCTTTCTTGTCAGGCCATATCCTTCACCAGTCTTCCAGCCCACCTTCCATAAGTGCTTTAGCCTGGATGGAAATGTGTCTTTGATAATGCCTCCTACTGGCCTGGACAGAGGACGGAAAGAGGAGTGGTCGGACATAGAAACCTCTGGTTGTCGTTCTGGTGGCGTGTAGCCTACCACACATAGGTAATTAGCATAGGCCCACCTACTTTTTGCTCCCGGCTCCGCCCTCCAACGGTATGTGGCCCTCGGAAGATCCCCCAAGAGGGGGGCCGGCCCCTGAGCTGAACAAGATCTCCCAGTCCCCGAGCTAAACAGAACTCTTTTTTTGCAAGCAGATACAATATCTGCTGAGGGATGATAGTCCCGAAAATACCGAGATGGTTTTGGGATATTTAGTTGAGATTTTTAAAGTCAAATTTAAAACTACTTAATTTATTTAATGGTGGCTACTGAGTCTTTTTTATGTTTTATGAGTTTAATATTACTAATGTTTTATGGATGGTTTTTTAAAAAACGATTCTACTGTCTAAGGTATGCCAATAAAGGCTGAATGAATGAAAAGTAAAATTCTAAGGGAATCTAAAGTGCAATGCAGTCTGAACTTCCTTCGACGCATCTCTGGACATTTCAGAGAACGTGGGGCAGGGGGAGAAAGACTTGACACTGATCTGCATCCCAGGCAGAATCCGTCTACAAATAGTTAAATAATCTGTGGCTACATATATATATATATTAAAATTACATTCCAAAGTCCACCGTGCGTTAATAAATAAATTGGAACGGAGCTTCCCCACTCAGTTCTGAATCCGGCAGTCTTCAGGGTCGCCGAGGTCAATGTCCAAAATATCTCATAGAGCATGCTCAATAGTCACAGAATCATAGGGCTGGAAGGGACCACGAGGGTCATCTAGTCCAACCCCGCGCAATGCAGGAACCATCTCTCTCTCTCTGGTCCAAGACAAGCTAGTGTTGATTGGTTGTGATTCACTTCTTAATCTAGACGTCTGTTCCAGCTGTGCCAAAACAGTTGTTTGCTGTGGACGGTGGGAGCAGTGTGCGAAAGGAGACCCCCCCACTCCCACCTTGTGGGGCGCAGAGAGTCAAGGCCACAAAAGGGTCTGCACATCATCGCGCTTTCCTCATGTCCAAGTGTGGGAAGTAGAGACCCAGGATGTCCTGCTGGACCTGATACTTCCCGGCTTTCTTCCGCAGACAGAAAGCAACCTGGTTGGTGCAGAAAGAACAGAGGGGAGAGAAAAAGAGCACTTGTCATATAAGTCTCTGTGTGGACAATGCTCCCCTTCCTGCATCAGCAGATGGACCACCAGCTGAACATGAGCCAAACGTGTGATGCAGCAGCAAAAGAAGCAAATGCTATTCTAGGCTGCATACGGGACCGCCTCTCCTGGTATGCCCCGCAGAGGACCTTAAGGTCAACAAATGACAACACTCAAGGAGGTTAGATTGGCCTCAACTAGGGCCAGGGCCTTTTCAGTACTGGCCCTGACTTGGTGGAACGCTCTGTCACAAGAGACTAGGGCCCTGCGGGACATGACATCCTTCCGCAGGGCCTGCAAGACAGAGCTGTTCTGCCTGGACTTTGAGAGACTCCCTGGATTCTTCTGCAACCTCTTGGACCCCCCCCCCTTTGCTTCAGCCTCAGAGTCTCAACTGCTCCCTGTCGCAGCCTCTTCCCGCTCACTAAACCCTGTTGCTCCGTCAGCATCCAGCACATCTTCCCAATCCTCTCCCTCTGACCTCTCCTTGGTGTCCCACTACCAACTCCCAGGCTCTGAGCCTTCCTCCTCTGGGGTTTCTCTTGGGGGTTCCCCAATTGGCACCTCCCACCTATTCATCCAGCCAGTCCCTTACAGATGCTTGCTGTGGCTGCATAGCGGCAACTGTGCCCCTGAAGGACCAGGTGCACAGTCTGGGAGTCATTTTGGACTCACAGCTGTCCATGGAGGCACAGGTCAATTCTGTTTCCAGGGCAGTTGTCTACCAGCTCCATCTGGTACGCAGGATGAGACCCTCTCTGCCCATGGACTGTCTTTCCAGAGTGGTGCATGCCCTGGTTATCTCCCGCTTGGACTACTGCAATGCGCTCTGTGTGGGGCTACCTTTGAAGGTGACTTGGGAAACTACAACTAATCCAGAATGCGACAGCCAGACTGGTGACTGGGAGCGGCCACCGGGACCATATAACACTGGTCCTAAAAGATCTACACTGGCTCCCAATATGTTTCCGAGCACCATTCAAACCATTCCACCTGGCTACGTCAGACAGTGAGGTGAGGCAGGAAGGCCCCCTCTGTTGGTCCGGCTGGGACAAACTGTTCCACCTAGCTGTGTCAGAGGGAAATCCATCAGCCTGGCTTGCACGAGCCATTCAATATGGCTGCATCTGAGGGAAAGGCAAGATAGCGAGGCCCCCTCTGCCAGCCTGGCTGAAATTAAATGCCGTTTGGGTCCTCCCCTCCCAAAACTACCTCCATCAGCACACCAGGGCATTTCCCAGTGCTATATATATATATATACTTGCGCAAGTCCCACAGCATTCTCCAGCCCCCTTCCATGTGAAATGGTTCTGGGGAAATGCGATTTCCCCCACATTGGGTGCAACTGGTGTCAGAAGTGGGAAACCTCGACCATGCCCCCACCCCAAAAATGCGTAAGCACTGTGTGCATTCTTAAAATAAGGTAAAGGGACCCCTGACCATTAGGTCCAGTCATGGCCGACTCTGGGGTTGTGGCGCTCATCTCGCTTTACTGGCCGAGGGAGTCGGCGTACAGCTTCCGGGTCATGTGGCCAGAAGGACTAAGCCGCTTCTGGCGAACCAGAGCAGCGCACGGAAACACCGTTTACCTTCCCGCTGGAGCGGTACCTATTTATCTACTTGCACTTTGATGTGCTTTCGAACTGCTAGGTTGGCAGGACATTCTTAAAATAAAGAATGATAAAAAAGAGGAAAGAACTTCCTTTCCTCTGTCTTGAATAAAGAAGATGAACATACCAGGAAGCAGATGAGGAAGAGCAGGAGGAAGCCCAGGAGAGCAGACAGACATATCAGGATGATGGCCCAGAAAGGTAACCCTGAAAGACAAAAAAAAAGTATTAAATGTTGGCCGGCTTTGACCCATGGCATTGTGGAGAATTAAAATGGGCAGCTTCTGAGGCTGGGGCGTTTGAGTAAATCTGATGGACGGTGGAAGAATTGAAAGAGGAGACCCACCCACCAGAAACCGGGCCCCCTCCAACCTCGAATCAACACTGAACAAATAAAGCATCACTAACCTCCTTGGTGGTGCACTGGGGTCACTGTTGAAGGATAACCTGTAAATAAATATAGGATAAACATAACAGCGTGAAATGAACCCAGGAGCTGAATCAAGCCAAAAGGGCCCCATCTAATGCATTGTTTCTGGGGGAGAGGGGGCGGGCAGGTGTGGGGGACTCCCTGGTTCTGAATGGGGTAACTGTGCGCAGCCTGGGAGTCATTTTGGACTCTGGGTGTTGTGTCTGGAGGTCCTGGGCTGCCCAGAGGACAAGACTCCCCTCTGGGCCTCACTGATGGGGTCCAAAGAAGGCAGAGCAAGACGCTTGGCTGAAGGAGTTGCTGGAAGGAGGCTGACAAGGCGCCATCCAACCATCTTAGGGACTCTACTCCAGATTTGTGTAGGCTTTCCTCCTTAGCCTTTTCTTCTCCCAAAGATGTCCCTCAAGGTATAGGACCAGAGTTTTCCTTCTCCCAGATAGGAGGTGAGTCCCATCTTCTCCTCACTTCCTTCTACAGCACATGCAGAGACCACCTTCTTGACCATTGGACCCACGCTTGGACTCGTCCACCCTGTCTGCTGTAGTCTGTTTTCGCATGCAGGGAAAGCCCCTAACTCCCCGAGGGATTGGGACCCATCAGCTCCCCTCGCCTGGTTTAGCCGGCCAGTTGAAGCCCTTCTTGGATTGTAGCCACTGTTGCCTGCTGACAGCTTCCAGGAGCCACAGGTGAGAGTTGGGTGTGGGTGGGGAACAAAGGTGGGCAAATGACTGCAAAAGGAGCATGGTATGTCTCCCACCAGAGGTAACACCCCCCCAGTGCCTTTAGCACCCCATACACCCCAGCCTTGGAGGCAATTATGCTTCTGGCTTCCAGTCGCTGGAAGCCATGGCAGGGGAGAGTGACTCTTGAGCCACAGTGAGACGAGGACGCTAGACTAGATGACCCATTGGCCTAATCCTGCAGGCCCTTCTGACTTTCCCCTGGAAGCTTCTGCCATTGTCCAGGATCTCTGGCACCCACTGCACTCTTACCGCTGACCAGCAGACTTCTGTTGTCCAGTGTGTACATCCCCAACGCTGTGGCATTGCCCGTCCAGTTCCTAAACGCATCGTACACCAGAGCTCGGTCGAAAGTCCTGGTGGACGAATCCATCGCGAATGTGCAGGCAGCGCCGACCGCCGTCTCGGTCTGCAGGTCAGTCGGTCTATGCAAAAATTAAAACACAGCCAAATGTTGGTCAACCGCCATGACTGATGTCTCTGAAGCAGGGAAGTTGGAGACTCCCAATGGCAGCGGAGATTACTGACCCTCACTTAGACTGCCTTCGAATCACACAAACACACACCTGAAGCTCTCAACAGAGCACTGCACAAACTCCCTCTGCAGGCTGCTGCGCTGGTATAACTGGTGGAGCTGTTTGGAGGGAGAACAGGATCAATACAATACAATACGATAATCTTTATTGTCATTGTCCCATACAGAACAATTGAAAAATCTACATTAGACATTCAAAAACCAACAAGCCTGCTATCCCAGCTGTCCCAGCCTGGTTAGCCCCCTAAAAACTCTGATACCCCATAATTAAATACAATATACTCCCACAGAGACTACCTTACACTGCGTTTAAAACCAAAATCGCATTTGGATAGAAACTGTTTCTCAGGCAGCTAGTCCTAGTCTTTATAACCCTGTACCTTCTTCCAGAAGGCAGAAGCTGAAAGAGATCATTTCCGGGGTGCGCACTATCCTGCGCTATCTCTGCAGCTTTCTCTGGAAACTTAAGGTGAACGTTGCCAGAGAGAGGTGTAATCCAGGTCCCTCTTTGAGTCATATCACGTTGGCGTGGCCTGTGCCATTCTTACACGGGTTTTAAGGTGCGTGCACACACATAGCAGGTGCCCCTTCACCCTTCAGCAATTAAATAGTTTCTGGGAATAATAGCCACTTTATTTGAATGTATTAAACTTAGTTCACATAGCAAAACAAGAACATTTTTAGTCGGGTGGCATAATATGCATTGCCAATGACTGGGGCAAGGCAAGGATTGTGCCCCCTAACCTCACTGTGGGCATCGTGAAGGAGGCAACGGGTAAACTTTGCTCGCTGTGCCCCTGTGGTAGCCGCTCCTCATGGAGGCTGGCTGCCCTCTCGGCTCGGGTGGAGACCAGGGTTCGAATCCCCGCTCAGCTGTGGAGCTCACTGAGTGACCTTTGAGGCCCACCAACCTCACATAAGCTGAGCACCTCAGAGAAACAGGAGATATATAAACAAAATAAATACATGATTTGAGATGATTTAAAAAATTGTCCATGAACAAACTTAATGATATTTGGAATTCATTTTTATAAATACCATTTTTGATTAAGGTATAAGGTAAAGGGACCCCTGACCGTTAAGTCCAGTCGCGGGCGACTCTGGGGTTGTGGCACTCATCTCACTTTATTGGCCAAGGGAGCCGGCGTACAGCTTCTAGGTCATGTGGCCAGCATGACTAAGCTGCTTCTGGCGAAACCAGAGCAGCGCACAGAAACGCCGTTTACCTTCCCGCCAGAGCGGTACCTATTTATCTACTTGCACTTGGACGTGCTTTCAAACTGCTAGGTGGGCAGGAGCAGGGACCGAGCAATGGGAGCTCACCCCGTCGCGGGGATTCGAACCGCCAACCTTCTGATCGGCAAGACCTAGGCTCTGTGGTTTAGACCACAGCGCCACCCGCATCCCGATTAAGGTATGGTTAACTGCAATAACAATTTCCTCTTTTTTGTAATATGCACAATATATTTTTTTCTGTTTCATTTCCCACATAGGTGTTACTTCTTGTGTCTTATAATTACCCTGTGCAGTTTTAATTTTGTACTCTGCATTTTCCAATAAAGAGTATAAAACAAAACATGATTTGAGATGATTTTAATTCTAACTCTTTTAAAATATTTGGATCGGCTCTTAGAATGCTTTCACTTTGTTTCTTAAACTTCACACTTGGGAACTTCGGGGAGGAAAGGCAGGATATAGAAGTTTGAGAAATAACAACACATGTACATATTTCCAGCCAGACCGAAACATTTGAGGAGGGAGAGAAAGAAGGCTGGTCAGGGCCAAGCCTAAAGGGAGTCCCGGGGGCCTGGCAGAGTGCTCTGGAGGGCCGCAGCCAAAGTCAGGAGTGAGGTCTGGACTCTGCTTAGCGTCTCTCCTGAGCCGTTTACCTCGCTCTCAAGACTCATTTTGGTCTTCCAGTAGACATCCGAGTCGGGATCTGCCATTTCCCCTGCGTACGGCAAGTTGGTGATGGTGAAATTGACCACAAAGTTCTTCATCTGGAGTTGGGGCGGCAGGGCGGCAGTGGCGGACTCAATGGCCGATTCGGGAGCTGGGGAGGAAGAGAAGACCCTAAAAATTCAAAAAAATACCCCTTCGGCCACCGTCCCCTTGGTTCCCAGTGCTCCCAGCTGATATTATTTAAAAGAGTGGTTTGCATGACCTAAAGGTAAAGGTAAATGGACCCCTGACCATTAGGTCCAGTCGTGACCAACTCTGGGGTTGCGATGCTCATCTCACTTTATTGGCCGAGGGAGCCGGCATTTGTCCACAGTTTTTCCGGGTCATGTGGCCAGCAGGACTAAGCTGCTTCTGGCGAACCAGAGCAGCGCACGGAAATGCCGTTTACCTTCCCGCCAGAGCAGTACCTATTTATCTGCTTGCATTTTGACATGCCATTGCCCAGGAGGGGCGCAAGGTGTGCGGTTTCTCTGCCACTCAAGGTGCAAAGCCCTTCTTTTGCACCCTGTGGAACATAAATGCGCAGAATTTTTAAAAGACTGGGCAACGGCCAGCCGGCAGCGACTCCCAAGCCTCCCCGGATCAGTCAAAACAAAGGAGGAAGGGGGCAGGAGATCGGGGGAGGCTCGGGAGTCACAGGCAGGTGGCGCGCTGTTCCCCAGTTTTTTAAAAACTCTTCACATTTATGTTTCACAGGGTGCAAAAGAAGGGCTTTGCACCTTTATACAATATGCATGTGTGCTTGGGCCCAGGGTCTTTTGCCTCACCACCCCCACTACAGACTCCCTGTTGCTACTCAGCTTCAAAATAATAATAATTAAAAAAATGTCCCTGGATTCATTGAAAAAAATCTGGCAACCATAGTTTTAGGGTTAGTTCCTAAACTGGGAGACTTAGCAGATGCTAGCTCGAGGGCTCTGCGCGTGCTCTAGAGCCTCATTAATATTAAAAAACACACCCCTTGTCCTTAAATTGCTAATTTACATGAACATGGGACATATGTAAAGGGAGGGGGCACTTATCAGGAAGTAGATATGAAATGGGCGTTTAGGGAAGTCTGTTAGCTGCAAGTTCTCAACCTACAGGAATTGTAAGGAGGAAAGGAGGGGGAGAGCGGGGGACGGAAAAGCTTTAAAGCAGGGGTAGGCAACCTAAGGCCCAGGGGCTGGATCCGGCCCAATTGCCTTCTAAATCCAGCCCGCAGACAGTCCGGGAATCAGTGTATTTTTACATGAGTAGAATGTGTGCTTTTATTTAAAATGCATCTCTGGGTTATTTGTGGGGCATTCCCCCCGAAAAAATATAGTCCGGCCCCCCAAAAGGTCTGAGGGACAGTGGACTGGCCCCCTGCTGAAAAAGTTTGCTGACCCCTGATTTAAAGAGCAAGGGGAAAGTTTTTCCCCTTGCAGCAGTTTCTTTCTCTGTACTGAAAGTGTTGCCCTCTGTTTTACTCAGCTGATTAAAAAGAGTATTTTTCCTGGATCTCCTGCGTCTGTGGGCTTTCATTGATCAGCTGAGCCAAAGGCTGCCCTGGTCCAAATCGTGGACCCAACAGAACCACGCGTGTTTTACTTCTCACAACCGGTGCCCTTTCCTGATTTATGCTGAAGGGTGTTTCTGTACCTCGCACAGTCACGCCCTTGAGCTGGAACTGCTTTCCCAGCCACAGAGACGTGGCGTTCCTCGTCTCCTGCTGGAACGTCTCTCGGACGACCTCTTGGCTGGTGTTTGTCGCCGGGTCAAAGTAGCACTTGCAGTCGACCATGATGGAGCCGTGCCTGAGAATTGCAATGTGCAGAGGAAGAGTCAGGGGCAAGAGGACATCCCAGACAAAAACAAACCCAACCCCAAGAGGCAGGCAATCCCTCTGAACAACATGGTTAATTCAAAAAACCAGCCTGATCCCACAAGGTTCTCCTGATGTTCTTATCTGTGACTCCCATCTCCCATTAGGCCAACAAGCAAAGGATGATGGGGGCTGGAGTCCCTCAACAGGCAAGGGATGATGGGAGTTGGAGCCCCTCAACAGGCAAGGGATGATGGGAGTTGGAGCCCCTCAACATGCAAGGGATGATGGAAGTTGGAGCACCTCAACAGGCAAGGGATGATGGGAGTTGGAGCCCTTCAACATGCAAGGGATGATGGGAGTTGGAGTCCCTCAACATGCAAGGGATGATGGGGGTTGGAGTCCCTCAACAGGCAAGGGATGATGGGAGTTGGAGCACCTCAACAGGCAAGGGATGATGGGAGTTGGAGCACCTCAACAGGCAAGGGATGATGGGAGTTGGAGTCCCTCAACATGCAAGGGATGATGGGAGTTGGAGCCCCTCAACATAAAGAAGTCCAAAGATTCCTTATCTCTGATTCAGGTAGGTGTCTCAGGAGCCTGGACAACTGCTTACACTTTCCTTCCTATCAGTACTGACCTCAGTCCAGTTACTTTGCAAATGTTGAATCCGTTTCGGATGGCACTCCGGAGGAAGAGTTGATTTAACTGGAGTGGGTGGAACAAACTAAAATTAGGAACTGCTGGGATTATTATTATTATTTTTATTGCATTTGCATCCTTCGAGGAGGTGGCTAATACGGTTTCCCTCCGCCTTGCTTAACCCTCACAACCCCCCTCCCAGGTAGGTTGGGCTGAGAGCGAACGACTAGCCCACAAGGACACCCAGTGAGCACCATGGATTGGTGTGAATTCAAACCCTGGGCCCTGAGGTCCTAACCCGACACTCTAACCACTGCACCACGCTGCCTCTGTGCATTGCAAAGCGTGAGAAAAACCACGCAGCCTCACTGTTTAACATAGAGGGTCTTTCCCAGCCCTACCTAGAGATGCTGTGGGGTGGAATCTGGGATGTTCCTCATACAAAGCAGATGCCCTACAATTGAGCTATGGGCATCCTCTACAAATAATGGAAGGCGCTTGTATAGGGCTGCCATATTTCAAAAAGTGGAAATCCAGACACAAAAGTTGGTCTTTTTTTGGCAAAGCTGTTGAGTTTGTTGTTGTTGTTGTTGAGCTATTCTTAAGGAAATTTGACATGGGTTGCCATACGTATGTATGGTAAAATAAAAATAGGAATGGGAAGCGATCTCAGTGCTGCATTTTATCTGCACAGACTGCTGTGAGGGTTTCAGAATTTGGGTTTGATCCAGCTGCTGTTCTTAGGGACAGCTTTACAAAGGGATTAGACAAAACAGGCTTTGTCATTCTTCTTCCTTAAACTCCAGAATGGCAGAAGAAAGGTGCGAGGATGGTCAATTAAAAATTTAACACGGATAATAACACTATATCAATTTAGATTGCAATGAACGGGAGTCTATTACATTGCATTTGTGTGTGTGTGTGTGTATATGTATATATATATATATATATATATATATATATATATATATATATAAAACACATCTTTGGTCCCCCCCCCCACTTCTCCTCTTTCCCCCCTTTCTATCACTTCATTTCTTTACTACTGAAATTATTTCAATATAAATATAACACATAGAAAATGAGGACACTGAAGGAAGTGCGTGAGACCCTTTCCTCAAGGCTCCTATGCCCTCTAGGGTCTGGTGAGTCCCAGCGCACAGATCCTGACCTCGTGGGCGATGGCAGACTTCACACGCTGGTATTCTGGAGACGACGGGTCCGTGTGGGTCAAGTTCTGGTTGACGACCGTGAAGCCGAGCTCATAGCCAACTCCTTCCTCCCCTCCTCTGAGGACTGGCGGGTATCCTGCAAGGAATTGGAAGGAGCAGGTGGTGAACAGGTGTGTAGGCAATGGCAGGACCTCCAGGTGTCCTTATTTTATAGCGATGGTCCTGGATTTACCTCCCTTTAAAGGCATGGTGTGAATGTAGTCGCCCTCAGAGGAGGACTGAATTAGGCCCTCCCCAGTGGAAACAGTTTTTTGAATATTCAGAAATAAATTGTAAACAGATAAGAACATTGGCAGGATTATTGTATAAATAGTACTGTGATAGGAATTTTATGGTTTTAGATATATGGCAACGTTCATAACCACACATACATAGATCAGCACAGGAAAGCCAACCTGGAACCATTTTGATTCCTAAACTGAGCAAATGTTTCTCTGCATGGTAAAAATGGAAAAGCCTCCCCATTGTCTCTTTCCTCACAAATCCTGTCTCAAGGATATGTCTGTTTGAATAAGGTGTGAGCCTGTGACCTGGCCCAGGAAATAAGTATTTTACCACTACAAAAGAATGGCCAGGCTCCCCAGGCAATCCAATCAAGTAACTTGCCAGACAGGAGATAAACTGTGACAGGAGAAAAACAACATTTAAATTTCTGTGATGTAGGTGGGATGTATCTGAGGGGTGGTCTTAGGTTACACCCCTTCTGTGATGTATGCATAATGTTTCTGGGGGTGGTCTTGATCTAGAGGATGGGAATTTCAAAAGTCTTTATAAGCCATTGCACAGCATTTGGGGGTCCTCTTCCTCTCCTGCGTGTGAGGGAGCACCCTGTTGCAACAGATCAATAAAGATCAAGCTTACTAGCTGCTTTGCTTCTCAATATTCTCTGGTTGGCCTCTGTTATTTTCTCCTACCAATAGGGAACCTATGTAAGGACTCTATATGGGCTCTTGGATACCCCATAAGGGAAAAGGGCATATTTTTATTTACAACAGTACTGTATAATGAATAAATGGGTCAATTAAGTTAATTTGGAATATGCAAAAAATATTATATAAAAAAAACAAATTTAAGGAACCGCAGAAAGAGAGGGAAGGAAGTCGAGTTTTGAAATGTTAAAATGGTTGTAAAATTATTGAAATGTACAAAACTGAGAATCGGGTTTTTTTAAAAAAAGAAATAGGCCCTCCTTGTTCCACACCTTCCTTGGGTGTTTCAAACTCAGATCCGGCCTCTAGCTTATCTGGACGAAGGCTAGAGAGGGCTGTGTGTGTGTGTGTGTGTGTGTAGAAACTAGCCTATTCTCTACAAAGCTTACATTTTATAGAATCGTAGTGTTGCAGGAATTTATGTATAGGTTGGGGGGGGTTGCCCCTCCAGCAGATATCATGCTCATGCAGCCCACTACCAAAACCAGCACAATCACTTTTGTGACTTGTCCCCACAAAACACTTCATCACAGTTTCTTCCTATCTATTCAAAGGGCCTTTGCTGCACGATACCAAATGTAAGAATTCACTGATCAATGTATCTGTGTACTGGCTCACTGGGAAAACTTCAGAAATTCATATAGACATGTGAGCTCAGCTCCTCAGCAGCCCCTCTGCCTAAGTGATAATCCCTGGCATCCTGATACCTGAGTGCCAGACAGGTAGCCATTCCAGAAATAACAAACCCAGATGAAGACAAAAGGGTGGGATTCACTTGGCTGGGAAACAGGGAAATGTAAATATCTCTTTTGTTATCCTTGATGGGTGTTTGGTGGAGGGCAAGGAGAACCATGGGGCAGGGTCCAGGGTGCTCAGATTACTGCCACCAGACCTCCCCTTTCATGATGTAACCATGAAGTATTAGTGATGTAGTTTTTTGGGGGGGTGTAACATGGGGATTAGCAGCTAATAAAAGTTTGGGGGCTCTTTTGTTTGGGGCGTCCATCTTGTTCCACCTGGTGGCAGGTGGGAGTCCTGTCGCGACAGTCTTCAATCAAGACCAAGCCAACTGGCTTCTGTTTTGCTCTGGTATTCCTGGCTGGTGTCCTTGCTTTTTGTCCAGGGGAGCCCTCAGATTTCTCTGTTAACAGTAGAGTTGGAAGGGACCCCTGGGGGTCATCTAGTCCAACCTGCTACAATGCAGGAATCTCAACTAAAGGAATCTCATTTAACATCCATTGCCCCGCCCACTTTTGCACCTGGTCCCGCCCACCCCTGGCATGCGGCCCTCGGAAGGTAACTCAGGCCCTCAGGGTGGGAAAGGAGCAAACGCAGTGAGATGAATGGGCACCATGATGAATGGATTAAGCCTGTTGATTTCCATGGGTCTTGGGTTCTTCCCATCTAGCCTCTGGCCCCCAACTGGCTTACCATCCACAGACAGGCTGTCCTTCTCCAGGCTGTAGTGGCCGAGCCTCGTGCCGTCCCTCGTCAGGTTGCTGATCTCCCGGTGCAGCCTCATGTGGTCGAAGGGGGCAGGGAGAAGGTCTTCCCAGTAGCTGCAGACAGTGTCCACCGCCGCAGCATGCCTGGTTTGTGGAGCCCTAAGGAAAGGCAAATGCGCATTATAAAGGTAAAGGTAAAGGGACCCCTGACCATTAGGTCCAGTTGTGACCGACTCTGGGGTTGCGGCGCTCATCTCGCTTTATTGGCTGTGGGAGCCGGCGTACAGCTTCCCGGTCATGTGTGAGCTGCTTCTGGCGAACCAGAGCAGCGCACGGAAACGCCGTTTACCTTCCCGCCAGAGCGGTACCTATTTATCTACTTGCACTTTGACGTGCTTTCGAACTGCTAGGTTGGCAGGAGCAGGGACCGAGCAATGGGAGCTCACACCGTCGCAGGGATTCAAACCACCGACCTTCTGATCAGCAAGTCCTAGGCTCTGTGGTTTAACCCACAGCGCCACCTGCGTCCCTTGCACATTATAGAATCGTATAAATCAGAGGGGGTACTTCAGGGGTCATCTAGCCCAACCCCCTGCAATGAAAGGGGGTCCTCTGCTCCAGAGCAGCAGAAAACAAGCTTTCTCCATCTTCCCTGCGACAGCCCTCCAGATATTTGAAGATGTTTCCTCTTTTCCAGGCTAAACCTACCCAGCTCCTTCAACCGTTCCTCATACGGCTTGGTTTCCAGACCCTGTCAATGGGGTGGGGGGTGGGTTTGGGGCTCAAAATGGGTATATGGAACATCCACGCTCAACAGCAGTCTACCTCGGGAGGCCTGCCAGGGGAATTGGTTGGAATTGGAAGGCCTGCCCACCCTCTTAGCTGCCCATCCCAGCCTCTTACCGAAATCTCTCCACTCGGCAGTACGCAAAGGCCGGGCCAACGTGTGTCTTCTTGAGAAGAGGCTCCATCTGGAGGGGGGGAAAGGAAAGAAAAATATTGGCAGAGGCCCTTCACCTGCAGATCAGTTGCTTTGAAAGCTTTGCCTGAAAGGTGGAATCATCTGCGGAGGGGGCACTGTTAATGGTGCCACCTAATGAGCGATCGCCAAAGAAGAAGAAGAAGATTCTGCATTTGTAAGAAATTGATCTTTCAGCACACGGTGGAACCTAAACTTTGGAACTGCCTGCCTCTTGACATTGGGCAGGAACCTTCCCTGTACTCTTTGCTGCACTTGCTAAAGACCTTTTTTTTATTAGACTCAGAAATTTAGAATGCTGATGAGTTTTTAGGTTGCTGCTGGTTTTGTTTGTTATTATTTTTCTGAATGTTTTACAGTGGTACCTCGGGTTACATACGCTTCAGGTTACAGACACTTCAGGTTACAGACTCCGCTAACCCAGAAATAGTACCTCGGGTTAAGAACTTTGCTTCAGGATGAGAACAGAAATTGCACGGCGGCAGTGTTTCAGGTTAAGAACAGTTTCAGGTTAAGAACAGACCTCCGGAACGAATTAAGTACTTAACCCGAGGTACCACTGTAATTGTTTTTACTATTACTCTTGTATTCTTTTTGTAAAGTGCTTTGAGGTTTCCTATGATCAAGAGGTGTATAGATTTTTGCAAAATAAATAAATAAATGCACACAAGAGATAGGAAGGGGGATATTAAAGGTTTCTCAAGAAGGAACAGGCATCAAGAGTTGGCCCAGAGAGGCATTTTCCAAGGACCCACAACTAACAGTGGTGTCCAGTGGCAAGAGCCCCTTTTAGCAACCCCGGCCCATATGCCACTTATTTATTTTATAAAATCTGTGCACTGCTTGATTGCACAAAAGCAAAACAACGGCCTCAAAGCTGATTACAAAAAAAGGGTAAAGCAATAAAAATATACATAAGAAAAAGTAACAGCCATAATTTAAGACTTTCAAGAAATTAAAATGACAATAGGCTAAAAACAGATAACTCAGAATGAAATTCTGGAACCAAAGTTCTTTTTTGTGTGCAGCCTGAGCACAAAAAGTTTTACAACTAGCTCAAGGTGAACTAGCCAGATGTTTAGCTGAGAATCAATCACAGTCAGTCCATCAATTGGACTTTAGAGCCAGTTGGCAAATAGACATTCCATTTTGGCAACTATAACCTTGGTTTAAGGAACCATTTGGCGTCTAGCTTATATTATCGGAGTTTCTAGCACTGGAGGCAGTCTTCAAGGGCAAACCCCACATCTAATGCAGGGCAGTAGTCTAACCAGGAAGTCTCCAGGACTGGGCTACTTGTGCTGCAGGTGGCGCACACAAGTGGGGGATATGAAACGTACGTAGAAGTTCAGGGCTTTCTCCGTGGCGTTGAACTTGCGAGAACCAGGGGTCCCCATTTCATTCATGTAGGGGAGGCTGGACAAGGTGTAGTTGACCGTGAAATTCCGCAAAGTTGGCATCTTGGCAGGGGTCGCGGCGGGGAGATCTGGAAGGAGGAGAAGCAATGTGAATTTCAAGGCAGGAGTCGTTTCGATCGGAGAGTTTTCCGTTTGCATGGTGGCACTTTGGAATACTTACACGGAATGCTACGCAGGTCGCTGTAACCTGGAAAGGAAAGACAGTAAAGAAACTAAGTTTTCTGCTCAAGAAACAAGATCCCCCCTTTATAAAAAATAAAGGCTTCCAAGCAGAGGCTGCTTTGTCACTAACTGCAGATGAACTCCTGCCTCCATGTAGAATTGTGGTTTCCCCTGCAGAATTAATACTTAATATTAATATCCTTTATATTTGGATGGTGCAGTAAGAGATCACCCTCTGTGTGTTCCAAAAAAAAACAGTTACAGGGGACATTGTTCACTGCATTACCCAGCCTCCTCTGTTCAAAGATCCTTGTGAAATATATCCATCAAGTCGCAAGGGAAAAAAATCTTGCATCATATGAGTCTGCATGCTTTCCTGCTGTCGGAAGAAGAAAATTATGGACTCCTGGGGGTTCATTTGCCTCGCCTGCCAAATGGGTGGCTCAGCTGGGATGGCCTTTTGTTATGCTTAGGGCTTATAGCTAAACAAACAATACTGCTACTCCTGCCCCTTCATGAGGACTTCATGATAGCCATGCTATCTAAAAAAACCCCCAAAGATGTATTCAGGGTCCGTCTTGAAGCCTGCTGACTGGGGAAGTTTGTTGTGTGTGAAGCCAGGTGTTCTCTCTCTGCTGACCCAGAAGACTCCTCACCTGGAATCACCTGCCTGGAGGTGGTTGGTAGCTAATGGACTGAGGCTGAATCCTGACAAGACAGAAGTACTGTTCTGGGGGGAGACAAGAGGTTCGGCAGGTGTGGGGGACTCCCTGGTCCTCTCTGGGGTGACTGTGACCCTGAAGGACCAGGTGTGCAGCCTGGGGGTCATTTTGGACTCACAGCTGTCCATGGAGGTGCAGGTCAATTCTGTGTCCAGGGCTCCATTTGAGACCCTCCCTGCCTGCGCCCTGTCTCACCAGGGTGGTCCATGCTCTGGTTATCTCCTGCTTAGACTACTGCAATGCGCTCTCCGTGGGGCTACCTTTGAAGGTGACCCGGAAACTACAGCTAATTCAGAATGTGGCAGCTAGACTGGTGAATGGGAGCGGCCGCCGAGACCATAGAACACCGTTCCTGAAAGTCCTACTTTGGCTCCCAGTATGTTTCTGAGCACAATTCAAAGTGTTGGCGCTGACCTTGAAAGCCCTAAATGGCCTTGGCTCTGTATACCTGAAGGAGCATCTCCACCCTCATTGTCCAACTCGGACACTGAGATCCAGCGCCAAGGGCCTTCTGGCGGTTCCTTCATTGTGAGAAGTGAGGTTATGTGGAACCAGGCAGAGGGCCTTCTTGGTGGCGGTGCCCTCCCTGTGGAACGCCCTCCCATCAGATGTCAAGGAAATAAAAAAACTATAGAACTTTTAGAAGACATCTGAAGGCAGCCCTGTATCGTGGAGTTTTTAATGTTTGACGCTTCATTGTGTTTTTATACCTGTTGAAAGCCTCCCAGAGTGGCGGGCTATAATTATTATTATTATTATTATTATTATTATTATTATTCAAAATGCACCATTGACGTAGAGGCTGTCCTTGTCTAGAGTGTAGGGCCCCATCTTGGTGAAGCCATTGGTCATATTTATCAGCTCCTGGTACAACTTCACTCGGTCGAATTGTGGCGCCGTCGCATCTCGCTGGTAGCTGCAGACTGTGTCCACCGCAGTTGCCGTCCCACCATCCGAAGACCTGCAAGATCAAAGGCGCGACGGTCAGTCCCTAAGCAGGCAGGGGTTGAGCGCTTTTCTGGCCCGGGGGCCGCATTGCAGGGGCCACTTGCCAGAGGCAGAAATGGGGGAGGCAATCGTATTGCTGGCCAGCCGCTACCCGCGGTCACAGAATCTTCTGCAGGCAAGTAAAGGGCAAGATCAGCAGTCCAGGGCATATCTCTAGCCTGGTGAAAATCAGTCAGCTGGGGAGTGAAGTGAGGGGTGTGGCCAAAGGAGAGGGGTGTGGCCTGGGGAGAGGGGGTGTGGCCTATGGAGAGTTGCCAAGGGCCAGATAGCAAAAGATCTGGAGGGCCAGGCCTGTGGTTTTCAAATCCTACCATTGATTGCTTTATATTCTTTTTCCTTTTCCTTTATTCCCTTTTCTTTTTTTTAAAGTGTTTTGGTGCACCACCCTTTACTCTGACTGAACAGGAATTTCTTTTCCTGCATCACAGGGGGTTGGGCTAGATGACCCTTGGGGTCCCTTCCAACTCTACAATTATTATTTTCCCCCAGTATATCTTTGGTAATTTGTATTGCTGTTCAAAAATTTTAACAAATTAATCTGAATTAAATGTTTAAAAGTTGCTTTCCCACCCTTCCTTCATGTGTGCCTTGTTCTTCCTATCTTGCTGCATTATAAAACATATTTTAATCTACTTGTCACTTTATTATTTAAAACAATTTATCATTTTAACATTGTTATTTTTTAAGTCTTCATCTCATATTTTCCATTGTGTATATTTCAATCCCTGCCCTTCCTTTTATTAACTAATATATGTGTGTGTGTGTTTTATTATCTCTATTGTCTTTCTCCTCTGTTTCCTTTCTTCCTTTGTCTTCCTCTCTTTTCTTTTGATGTTTCTCTCTCTCTTTCTTTTTTATGATTCCATCTGTTCTGGATGTACTTTTTACTGTTTTGCGAAAAATGTAATAAACATTTCTGAAAAACAACAACAATAACAACCCTATAACATATTTTCCAAAAAAACCAACAGAATTACTCTTTGCTTTGCTAAACCAACTCAACAATTCTATGATTCTCGGCTAAAGGTTGCAGGACACTGGTGTTGAAATTCATAGGAATGGAAATACTGATTAACAGCAACATTGGGGTTCAAATCAATAATAGCCACATGGAAGGTTCCGGGAAGTCGAGACATCTTACCGTAAAGCCGTAACGTTGCATCCGGAATAAGCGTCTCCAACGCTGCTTTTCCTCAACATTTGGCCCAGCTAAAGGCAGAAAAGAATCTCATATTAGCCCGACTCTGGATAAGGAATTATTAAATTCTGACTCTGGGTTGTCTGGCATCTAGCCTGGCCCTTTGGTTTAGGAAAGACTGCATCACACGCTTATTGGGGAATAAGTCCCGCTGACTAGAGTAGAACCTACTTTTTACTCAGGAGGTGGTGGACTCTCCTTCCTTGGAGGTTTTTAAGCAGAGATTGGATGGCCGTCTGTCAAGGATGCTTGAGCTGAGATTCCTGCATTGCAGGGGGTTGGACAGGATGACCCCTGGAGGTCCCTTCCAACTCTATGATTCTATGACTAAACCAACTGATGGTAAGCTACTACTATCCTGTGCTCATGAAGTACAGGGATACTGAGACTCACCAAAGTGGTCACAACTCTCTGTGTGGAAGTGAAAGCTTTCGAACTCGGATCCCCCATCTCCGCCTTGTATCTGAGGTTGGTCAGAGTGAAGTTGGTCGTGAAGCGTTCACTGGCTGGAGGGTGGGGAGGAGTTGGGGCAACGCCTGCGTAATGGAGAAGAAGAAGCCATTATTGACGTACATGTCTGTCTCCTCAAGAATATTGCTGTCTCCAAGAGCTGAGCTGAAACAGTTTTTTCATGTTGCACCTGAAATGCCATAAGCCTGAGCCGTGTGTCTGGAGGTCTCGCTGGGGGGGTCTAATAATAATAATAATAATAATACCCTGGGCTTCCCGGTTCAAAAACCGGGCTCAGGGCAGCTAGCGGCTAACAACAAATTTAAAACACTTAACTGTAAAAGCAGCATAAAATACAGTATAAAAACATAAATAACAATAAGATTCTGAATTCAGAAATCAATTTAGGGGAAATAAGCATTAGATGATCACCAGTGCTAGCTGGCTAAATTAGTCCTATTTGGGCCAGCGAGGAGACCAGGAGAGAATTAGCTGTGGGGTCTCAGAGCAGGTAATCTTCATTAAAAGGGGAGGGGGAGGGAAGAGAAGGGAAATAAAAGATCAGGCTGAATTCAAATTAAAGGCCAGGCAGAATAGCTCTGTCTTACAGGTCCTGCGGAAGGAGGTTAAATCCTGCAGGGCCCTGGTCTCATGGGACAGAGCATTCCACCAGGTCGGAGCCATCACTGAAAAGGCCCTGGCCCTGGTGGAGGATAGTCTGACTTCCTTAGGGCCCGGGACCTCTAAACTATGGTTATTCATGGACCTTAAGGTCCTCTGTGGGGCAGACCAGGAGAGGCAGTCCCGTAAATTCCAAAGAAAGCAGAGCAAGATGTTTGGCACTCGCTTGACTGAAGAAGTTGCTGGAAGCAGGCTGACAAGGCACCATCCAACAGCCTTAGGGACTCCACTCTGGATTTGTGAGGGCCCCCCAGATGTCCCACAAGGCAGCAGGTAAGGTCATGAGCAGTGGCGTGGTGTGAGGGAGGGTCACAGGGGTGGCTGCCCCGAGGCCGAGATATGTGGCAAAGCAGAAGCGAAGATGTTATGCCAACAACTGACAGGCCCTATGCAGTGGCGTAGCATGGGGGGCCCCCAGAGGTGGTTGCCCCGGGCGCAAAATTGTTAGGGGCGCAAAATTTCAACACCTGGTGCTGCCTCAATACAGCTGCACACTTCCGTCGCTGGGCTTCACTGAAAACGGCTTCTCCATGCAAATCAGGAAGTGACCTCTCCATACTTTTCTTACATCTGTGGCTGCAATCTCCTGGGTTATGCTTGAATGCCCTGGGCACTGGCAACCCACGCTACGCCACTGGCCACGAGGGCTGGAATTTTGCTTTATTTTAAAGGAAAGCATAGTGTTCAATCTCCAGCATCTCCAGGGCAGGTCTGGGAAAGGCCCTTGAGTCTGAAACACTGGACAGCTGCTGCCAGTCAGTGCAGATGATATTGAGTTAAGTGGGCATGGTTTGACTCTGCATAGGGCATTTTTCTATGTTCGGCTGGGATGTGGTTGAGGTGTCGCAGTTCTGTGAATAGCACACTTACTGGGTTGACGAGGTGGTTCATGATAACCTGTTGAAGGAGGGAAGACTTGTTAGAAGATAGCAGAGAGCACATTGTTGGGGGAATGTCCCACCCAGGCTAAAGAAATCAGGATGGAGAACAACGTTCTAACACATGTAACCATACACTGCCAGTAAATCACAGCAACACAAGCTGAATTTAAAGAGTAAGCAACTATTTTGGAACATGTTGAAATATTGCTTTGAATATTATGTAATATTGCATTTATATTTGAGGATGTAAGTCTCTGCGCTTATGGCCTATCAATCATTGCAGAAATATTCTGGCCTCTGTGTCATGTTCAGAGGACTCTCTGGCTCTCAGCAGAGCAGAGATCTCTGCCCCAGGCATTTGGAATAAAGAGAAGCTTCAGCTGAGAAACAAGAGTTGTCCTGTGGTTTGATTTCCACAAGAACACCTCCACATGCTTCAGCCATAACAGCAAGCTTCCTCTCCTCACCATTCACGAGGAGGCTGTCCCGGTCCAGGTCGTAGGGCCCCATCTTGGTGAAGTCCTTTGTTTTGTTGGCAATCTCCCGATACATCTGCACCCGGTCAAAAGGGGATGCCATCAAGTCTCTCTGGTAGCTGCAGACGCTGTCCACGCCAGTGCTCTTCCCGTCATCTATGGATCTGGAAATGGAAAGGTTAAAAACTTTAAAACTCTTCCTACGTGGGATCTCTTCCTCCACCTTCCAGTTCAACACTTTTGGCCCTAAATTAGATGTCCCAGGAAAGGACCAGTGGTTCTGGTAAGGAGCAGGGACTTTGCCGGAGTGGCACCTCCAAGAGGACAAGGCAGGTCAGACGTTTCAGCACCATGGAAAGCTCCATGTGAGCCGCTTGCCCTGCCAGAGATTAAGATGTGTATTGAGGTCTTTAATACAAGGACTGCATTCACAATCAAGCTTCGTGATTTTGCATCTCTTACTTGCTTGATAAAATTTCAAAGACCACCTTTAAAATAATGATAAAAAAGCACCCATCCTGCATCCATACCTGAACTCCGAAACGTTGCATCCCATGAGCGCAGGTCCAACGCTGCTTGTCTGCACTGCTCGACCCATCTAGGCAGAAAGGAAGGTGCTGTCATTTATTTATTCCTGCCTTTAAAAAGCAGAAAGTGTGCTCTCAGGGAGGGCTTACCAGTGCTGACAGGGCCTTCTCCGTTGCGTTGAACACCTTCGACTGGGGAGTGCCCATCTCTGGCTTGTAGATGAGGTTTGTCACGGTGTAGTTCACCATAAAGTGATCCACTGCCGTTGGAGGCTGAGGAGTGGTGGGCGAGGCAGCTGTAAGGGAGATAATCTGTGAGATCACAGCCTTGCCCCATGTATGCCCCTCCCTGACCTCACCAGTCTGCATTACCGGCACATAATACTCAATCTACACTTGGAAGAAATCCATCTTTGAGTGTAGCAGAAACTACCCTTTGGAACACCCTGCCTCTTGACAACAGCCGGACGCCTTTCCTGTACTCTTTCTGGCTCCAGCCAAAAACATTTTTTGTTTACGCAAGCCTATCCAGACTTGACCCTCCAGATGTTGCGGGACTACCACTCTCATCATCCCTGACCGTTGGCCATGCTGCCTGAAGATGATGAGGTTTGGAGTTCAACAGGAGATAGTCACAGCCTCACTAACTCGAGCGGGTGCAGAATGCCATGGCGAGACTCCTTACGGGGTCCTCGCCGCAGGATCACATTCACCCGGTGCTATACCAGCAGCACTGGCTCCCGGTGGAGTACAGGGTCAGGTTTAAGGTGCTGGTTTTGACCTTTAAAGCCCTATACGGCCTAGGACCCTCATACCTATGGGACCGCCTTTCCCGGTATGTCCCATGGAGGACCTTACGGTCTTCAAATAAAAACATCTTGGAGGTCCTGGGCCACAGGGAGGTTAGGCTGGCCTCAACCAGAGCCAGGGCTTTTTCGGCTGTGGTCCCGATCTGGTGGAATGCTCTGTCCCAATAGACTAGGGCCCTGCGGGACTTGACATCTTTCCGCAGGGCCTGCAAGACAAGCTATTCCACCAGGCCTTTGACCAAGGCACAGTCTGACCTCCTATTTTGGCAATCCTCACAGAACTCTAGCCCAATGGTTGCCATTAATTTGATTTTGAATTGATTTTAAAATGAATTGATTTTAGAATGCTGTTGTTAATCACTCTGAGCCCGGCTTCGGCTGGGGAGGGCGGGATACAAATAAATTATTATTATTATTATTATTATTATTATTATTATTATCCTGTCCTACTGCCTCAGACATCTCCGAACAGTGCGCTGGCCTTCTCTTCTCCAGATCCTCCCAGCAGAAGGTGGTCATCCAAGGGATATGAGCCCTCTGGGTCTAGTTCATTGGGCCCTGGAACTCCTGCCCTCCCTTTAAAAAACTTAAATCAGCACCCCCTTTTGCTTACAGGGCTACAGAACATAATGCAAAGTGCAGGGGTGGTGAGGGGTCCGTCCCGCATGACCTCATGAGCATCACACACGATGACCGGCCCTGTTGGGCCTTGGCGTGCTGTGTGTTGTCATGCACACACCGTGTTGGGTTGCCTGGCTGGGCACTCGCAGTGATAGTTTTGTGGGTGCCTTGGCAGCCAGGGCCCCCCAGAAATGTCTCCTATGACCTGAGTCACTTGATTAGTCACACTGAGATGATGCGCACTCCATACACATGTGGCTTCAATTCCAGCCTTTGTTTCCTGCTCTCTCCCAGCTTTTCATTATTTCTGATCCGGCTCTCAGCGCTGAAATTGGCTATCCATCTAACTGATAGATCAGAAGTTGCCACGCTTTTTCAGGGCAGCCTCCTGTCGGTTCCAAAAACTCATCCCCAGTGCCCCTATTCTGCTCTATATAATTTATTTATTTTTTAAAGCATTGTTCAACCTAAGATGAATTAATTAAGTCAACAATGATGCAACGGGTTTGAATAAAAGCACTGTGGAGGGCAGGGTGGGAAATCAATCCATGATACAAAGCTGCTATGTAATTATCTGATCTGAAGATAATTTGAGAAATTTTGGAAACGTAGTAAAAAATAATATTTGCAAAAAAGGAAAAGCATTGTTCAAAAGAGCGGTTCTCATGAGGAAGATCGTGACACAATAGAACAGGAACAACTGATTGCCCTTTCGTTCAGAATTCAAAAAAAACTACTCAGTTTCATTCAATGAACTTTACACTTCCTGCACCCCCGTGCTGCCCCCTTCCTTGCCTCTTAGCAACCCCCTAAGCAATCCCATTCTCCCCCGGGGACAGAACTCCCCACTTTGAGAATCACTGATGTAACCAATGCACCACAATTTTGGATTAGCCTGCCCACAACGAATAAAAATTAAGCATTGCAATTATTATGCCCTTACTTGTAGGAAGTGATGCTTCATTGTAACCTGGAAAGAAAAGGAACACTTGTTTAAAGGCAGAATCAGGTTCAGTTGCTTCCACTTTCTAGCGTGGACGTTTGCCCACTTTTGTCCTAGGTTAGGGTTGGGTCTCTTTATACCAGGGGTCTGCAACCCGCGGCTCCGGAGCCGCATATGGCTATTTTACACCTTTGCCGTGGCTCCAGGGCGGATACTAGCGAGGGGAGGAGGCGCATTGTGCGCCCCGACACTCCCCACTGTGGCGGGCGCTGTACTGGCTGTGACGTCGCATGGGGGCGGTGCGTGCGTTAGTCACGCACCGTCCCGACGTCACCTTCCCGCCCGCTGTCAGATCGGAGGGCAGCGGCGCGCATGCTTTAAATGTCGCAATGGTTTTGCGGCTCCCAGGTTTTTTTTTCTTCGGAAACGGGTCCAAGTGGCTCTTTTTGTCTTAAAGGTTGCAGACCCCTGCTTTATACCAGGAGTGGCTAATGTTTTTGCATTTTTGGTCCACTTTCATCTAGATGTCTACCAACTCCATCTGGTGCGATGGCTGAGCCTGTCTGCCTACCTGCGCACCATCTCACCAGGGTGGGACATGCTCTGGTTATCTCCCACTTGGGATACTGTAATGCGCTCTCCGTGGGGCTACCTCTGAAGGTGACCTGGAAACTGCAATTAATCCAGGATGCAGTTGCCAGGCTAGTGATTGGGAGCAGCCGCCGTGACCATATAACACCGGCCCTGAAAGACCTACATTGGCTCCCAGTACGTTTCCAGGGACAATTCAAAGTGTTGGTGCTGACCTTTAAAGCCCTAAACAGCCTCGGCCCAGTATACCTGAAGGAGAGTCTCCACCCTCATTGTCCAGCCTGGACACAGAAGTCCAGCTCTGAGGGTCTTCTGGCGGTTCCCTCACTGGGAGGTGTGAAGCTACAGAGAACCAGGCACAGGGCCTTCTTGGTGGTGGCACCCTCCCTGTGACATGCCCTCCCATTAGATATCAAGGACATAAGTAACTATACAACCTTTAGAAGACATCTGAAGGTAGCCCTGTATCAGGAAGTTTTTTATGTTTGATGTTTTATTATGTTCCTGTATATGCTGGAAGCCACCCAGAGTGGCTGGGTACAAATAATAAAATGAGGAGGAGGAGGAAGAGGAGAAGATGGATGGATGGATGGGGTGAAGTGGTCTTTCTTTACCTATTTTCTGAAGTTGTCAGACTTGGTGGGGCAGATCAGGCCCTAAAACTGGAGGTTAGCAACCCTACTGGCTTATATCCTAAACGTTCTGAGACACAGCAGGCAGATAGAAAATATCGGACAAATCGAAAACCTGGTTACCGTTCACATAGAGGCTGTTTGGGCTCAGATTGTAGGGACTCATCTTGGTGAAGCCATTGGTCTTGTTCACAATTTCGTGGTACACCGTTACTCGGTCAAAGGGGGAGGAGGGGGATGGAGCCCTGTACGCGCAGACGGCATCCATTGCCGTTTCGTCCCCATCTCTCAACGGCCTGGAAGGGAAGGAAGAATGCAAAGAGAAACACTCAGAGCGGACCAGAGGTGATGGAGAAGATGCGGTTCCTATTGTCTGGACAACGTAAGCACATGTCAGGGACTGCCTGGACGATGAGGAGTGGTGGGAAGAGCCAGCCGGGGAACCCTCAACAGAACCTCCAGAGGAGGAAGGCTCAGATCTCACTGAGGAGAGGGAAGATTAGGAGGTGGTGTTGGATCCGGAAGGGGCAACAGGGTTTGGTGAGCAGGAGGAGTCTGTGACAGGGAGCAGTTCAGACTCCCGGCTGAAGAAGGAGGGGAGTCAAGAGGCTGCAGAAGAACCAGGGAGTCTCTGGCTGCAACAAGCTCTCTCCAAGAACACGCAGAATAATGAGGAGGGCAGAACAGAGGCCAGAGGTACACAGACACAGTTTGAGGAGCCTTAGAGAGTGAGAAGGCAGGGTTGTGTTGGAGAAGGCTGACCTCAGAGCTGTCACTTGGCATCCCTGATAGTTTGGGCCGACGCCGCTGCCACTGGAGATGACTCTGCCAAGCTGAAAGAGAAAAAATACCATTGGTAAACTTTGTTTAAACTTGTTAATATCGTTGCTACCAAAAATACCTTGTAGACAGGAGCAGCATTTCCCCCCTCCCCATAAAAAAGGGAGGTGGGGAAGTGGCATTTATTTCTTTTTTAATTTTATTTTATTAACATAGAAAACACATACATATACAGTTACACAATACACGTACACAACACACCAGCTTATTTTCATAACATAAAACATACCTACATTACTCTATATACTATACATATCAACATACCTACACACCTGCCCCACACAGACACCCACCAGGTGACTTGACGTCCAGCCATCCTTGTTACGCTACTTTATTTTTCCAACTAGCTTAAACACATTTCATTATTTCTTTAATCTCTTCTTCTGTCTTAACTTTGCTCTCCTTTCACTCTAATAATTTTCTGGATTCACTCAGTATCTGTCAGAAATTCTACTTTTTCTACATAAATTTTGATGTATTCCTTAATGATAGCCCACTCCTTATTCACTTTTTGTACCATATCTCCTCTTATCCTCCCTGTTAGTTCGGCAGTATGGAAGTAGTCCATCATTTTAGATAACCAGTCTGTTTTAGTTGGGACGTTGCTGCTTTTCAAATTTTTGGCAATCAATAACCTTGCCGCCGTAGTTGCATACATAAATATTGGTCTGAACGTTCTTTTTATTTCCTCTGACATGATGCCTAGGAGAAAAGATTCTGGGTTTTTTTCGAATGAAAATCTAAACATCTTTTTCAGTTTGAAAGGAATTGCTGAATTAACCAATTGAACCGGAATACAAAAAAGGGAGGTGTGAGGAGGTCAGGAAAGCAAGGAAATGAAATGTAAGATACGGAAGGATAAATTTGTTTCTAAGTGTTTTTTCTATATATTTTTTCTATACTTTGCATTTTGTATGTTTTTTCTCTTTTTTCCCCTATATTTTTCATTATCTTTTATGTAATTTTTTGTTTTTGAAATCTCAATAAATATCATTTAAAAAAAAAAATAAACATCTTTTTCAGTTTGTTATAGATATTTTCCCAGAATCCCACTACAGAGGTACCTCGGGTTAAGTACTTAATTTGTTCCGGAGGTCCGTTCTTAACCTGAAACTGTTCTTAACCTGAAGCACCACTTTAGCTAATGGGGCCTCCTGCTGCCGCTGCGCCGCCAGAGCACAATTTCTGTTCTCATCCTGAAGCAAAGTTCTTAACCTGAGGTACCATTTCTGGGTTAGCAGAGTCTGTAACCTGAAGCGTATGTAACCTGAAGTGTATGTAACCTGAGGTGTATGTAACCCGAGTACCACTGTATCTCTTTGCACTCCCACCACATATGTAGAAAGGTTCCTGCCTCATTGTTGCATCTCCAACAGACATCACTACAGGGAGTGGCATTTATTTCTAATAAAGTTCGTTTAGTCTACAAAAAACCCCTGCCACATGGGATTGTAGGTGGGGTACCCTCTGGAAAATAGGATGACTCACAGGCGTTGTGTGATGGGAAAAGCCCAGCTGGGACTTTGGGGAGACAATTTATAATGAGATGGGGGGAGGGGGATGTTTAAAAGTTTGTTCCCAAAAAGACCAGAGGCATTTCTCTTAGGAATAATTGAGTCAGATGTTTCTAAGAACTGCCAGAATTTATTTCTCTATGCAACAACTGCAGCTTGGATTTTATATGCTCAAAAGTGGAGGGAGGGGGCAGTCCCAGCGAGGGAGGAATGGCAAATATGATGGAACACACAGAGTTGGTGAATCTAACCAGCAGAATTGGAGAGCTATAGGAAAAAGCATTTAAAGAGGATTGGAAAATGTTTGTAGACTAAATGAAGAACTTCTGTAAACGGGTCAAAACGCTAGCATGTTTAGAATAAATTCAGCGGTACAAAATATGTGGAAATAAAATGTGAAAAGAGAAAAGACAGAGTGATTATAATATGCAGCGGTAAAAGATGTTAGAAGGAAGGCATAGAAAAGCAGAAGGGAAGTCCATGTTCTAATTTTTAAATTTTTGATTGTAATGTAATGAGGAGTAACATTACAGCAGATACACTGACTACGTCAACCCAAAAGGACCACTAACAATTATCAACAACTGGATCAGAACCGGACTCTTACCACCGTGGTGAGAGCTTTTTCCGTGGCATTGAAGACCTTCGAATGCGGAATTCCCATCTCCGACTTGTATTTGAGGTTGGTGACAGTGTAATTGACGGTGAAGTGCTCCATTGCCCGAGCTGGGGGGGTCTGAGTTGTTGCTGGAATAAAGTGGAGACGGAGGCAGTCTTAGGCAAGAGGGAGAAAATTCAGCTTGGCTCTCATTTCAATGCAGAACTAACAGGTTTACACTTCATTCCCATTAGAGCCATTATCAAGGCATCCATATGCCTCTTGTAAGGATTCTACAGCCTTTCGTAGTTCTACTTACATGGTTCCAGAGGGACTTCATTATATCCTGCGGGGGGGAAAGAGAAGAGGTGATAGTTTGTGGAGAGAAAAAGAAGACATTGCAGCATTTTTCTTTAAGGCAAAACCAGCAGGAAAATAGGCAAGATTCTCCCTCCCCTCTGCCCTGCAGCTCTCCATATTGGGATTGGTGCCTCCTTGTACTGTATTTTTTGCTCTATAGGATGCACTTTTTTCCCTCCAAAAATTAAGGGGAAATGTGTGTGCGTCCTATAGAGCGAATGCAGGCTGCGCAGCTAAGCCCAAAGCCAGAACAGGGAGACGGGGGCTACAAAGGCTGTCCCCGAAGCCAGAACAGCGAGACGGAGCACTCCGTCTCGCTGTTCTAGCTTGGGGATGGCTGAGCAAAGCCTCCGCAGGGCAGCGGAGTGCCTTCACCCCGCTGCTCTGCGGAGGCTTCAAAGGCTGCGCTCCAGGGGCTTCAGGCAGCTATCCGCAAGCCTTCGGAGCGCAGCAGGAAGGCTGCGCTTGGAAGGCTTGCGCATAGCCGCCTGAAGCCTGGAGAGCGAGAGGGGTCGGTGCACACCGATCCCTCTTGCTCTCCAGGCTTCGCTTCGCTGGAGAGGCGCTGCACAGTTTTCCCTCTCTGCGCAGCGCCCCTTCAGCGAAGCGGGAGGAGAAATGGAAGGGGCTCCGTTTCTCCTGCCACTTTGCTGAAGGGGCGCTGAGCGGAGAGGCGGAGAATCCCCCCCCCCATTCTCCCCCTCCTATGGTCCGGTGCGTCCTATGGTCCGGTGTGTCCTATAGAGCGAAAAATACAGTCTTTTCTCTCTCCCTTAATAAAGAAACTAAATGCGCGATAGACTCCTGTCTTCCTCTTTGACCTGTGAATGACCTGATCTTCCTGTTAGCCCCTTGACACCCCAATGGGAAGGCCACTCAAAAGCATGGCGCCTGAGGCAATCTATAGCACGATGAGCAAATGCCCAAAAACGCTACCGTTAATGTAGAGACTGTATCTCTCCAAGTCGTAGGGCCCCATCTTGGTGAAGCCACTTGTCCGGTTAACGATTTCGTGATACACATTCACTCGGTCGAACACCGGGGCAGCGGAGCTGTTCCGGTAAGAGCAGACGGCGTCCATCCCAGTTTCGTCCCCTTTTTGCACCGGTCTGGAAGGCAAGAGAAAGGATTTGAGCAGGAGCCTTTGGAACTGGCCCAAGGGGTGGGTCCGAAAGGAATGAAGCTGCTGCTGGCTGGGGAAGAGATGATCAAAGCTGAAATGTCTACAAGTAAAAGGAAGGCTGACCTCAGAGTTGACACTTTGCATCCCATATACGCCGGGCCGATACTGCTACTGCGGAGGACTCTTCCAAACTGAAAAAGAAAGGATCCGTTGAGTATTGTTATTTTGAATCCAATATTCCGAGTGAGTAAATGTTATTTGTACCTTTTACGAGATTGTGTGATTGTTATTTTAAGGGGAAATACCAGGAGAATCCAGTCTGCCTTAAAGCATCCTGGATTAAGGCTAAAATTAGCTGGTCTAAGCTTCCCTTTCAAGCTGTTGAACTCACAAACATGAGGAAGGGAAGATAATATCTAATAAATTTAGCATCAAGTCACATCCCAACAGTTACAACCTAATTAATAGCCAGTTTATGGACCAAAGCTTATGTCTTAAAGGTCCTAGCCTACTATTGGAGGTCAAACTACCAGGGAACACCACCAAAGCATCCCAAACAATCAACGCCAACTGGAACTAGTCTTACCAGAGTGGTGAGTGCTTTCTCTGTGGAGTTGAACGCCTTCGAATTGGGAGTTCCCATCTCTGGTTTGTATCTGAGGTTGGTTACAGTGCAGTTCATGGTGAACTGTTCAACTGCCAGGGCTGGGGTCGGGGTTGGTGCTTTGGTCACCAAGCGTGAAACAGCTGGAAAGGAAAACAGCTGTAAACCAATGCTCTTCCACTGAAGCTCTGCAAGAGACCCAACATCTTCTGGCTCCCCTTCCCCTCTCCCCACGTTCTGAACAGACTCCAAGTTAGGATTTGATTGTGGGACTTACTTGGTTTGAGAGGTTGCTCATTGTAGCCTAGGCAAAAAGGTAAGATAAGAGCAATTAGCATGAAAGTCAGCAGCATATCGCTTCTTTCTTGTATCCAAAAATGCAAGAAGGGCTTTTACATTCGCCAGAAGCTCGGCTCTGCCCTCGCCGGTCCTGGAAGGAGCCTTTTAAAAAGTCCCATATGCTCAGAGACTTTGTTCTTGTTCATTGTGGGGATATAGGAAGCCCAGAGCACTTGTTCTTTAGATGTCCCTTTTAGGAAGAGGCACGTAGTGAGACCACTGATCCCCTGCTGGTGAGGCTCGCTGACCTCCCGGAAAAGCAAAAATTTGACCTTTTCCTGTTAGGCAAAGATCATAAGATGGCCGGGATGGTCGCCAGATTCTGTGTACAGATCTGTAGGTGCAGACCATCCCCCAACCCAAACTAGTTCGTTAAGAAAATCCCCAAACATGGTTCCATGGGTGACTCTGGGTCATCTCTCTGCGGTAGCTTATCTTAAAGTTTTAGGTGTCTATACGCTTATCGCATTTATAAATTTTAAATCTACTGTTGTACATTGTTTTAAATGTTTGTTTTACTTCTGGGATTGTACCCCCAAGTGTGTTTTATAAGCTGGTCTCCGACCGTAATAAATTTATCTAGCTATCTATCTGGCATGAAAGTCAAGGGGGAGAAAGAATTATTACGACGATCCCTGATTACAATATGCAGGCACCTGTGAGAACACACACACACCAAACCCCCTCCATATATATAAGGAAAGCACAATAAATGTTGTGTGAAAAAGGATTCCCATTATGGCAGAGCACACTGCTCCCATACTGTGCCGGAATGAGCCTTTGGCAACACTGCAAACACACCCACAGATATTCAACACACGTGAAATGCATAAAAACTATTTGGCCAATGTCGTTTCGTTTCATTTTTTTCATTTCACTTTAAATTTGGCTACCATTATTTTATTATTATCATTTACTGAATTTATATACCACGCCATACCTGGAGGTCTCAGGGTGGTTCACAGAACAAAATCAAAATAGAAAACCACAAAATATATAATCAGTTTCTACCATTGACGTAGAGGCTGTATCTTTCCATGCTGTAGGGACCCATCTTGGTGAAACCGCTGGTCCGGTTGACGATTTCATGGTACACCTTCACCCGGTCAAAGGCGGGCGTGGTGGAGTCGTTGCGGTAAGTGCAGACGGCGTCCATTCCGGTTTCATCCCCGTCTCTCACCGGTCTGAGAGGAGAGGGAGAAGGAAAGAGAGGGTTTTAGCAGAGAGGGTTTGTGGGTCAAGAGAAAGGAGTATTGAATTGTTAGGAACAGAAGGGCATAGGAAGCCGCTAGTTCTCATGATTTTGAACAATGGCTGGTTTAACTAGGAACCCAGGGAACTGACTTATACCGACTGGTCCATCAAGCTCAATATTGTCCACACTGATTGGCAGCACCTCTCCAGCAGTCTTCCTTACCACCCTGCCCTATCCAGAGGTGCTGAGGACTGAGTCTGGGGCCTACTGCTTGGATAGCAGACGCTCAGCAACCAAGTTATGGTCTTTCTTCTAAATGTAGTACAAGATTCTAGTCCTCTAGGTTAAACAGGAGCTCAGGAAGCTGCCCCATACTCAGTCAGACCATCTAGCTTGGTATTCTCCACTCTCCAGGGCCAGATTCACTACCTTCACTTCCCCATTACCTGCCTTTTGGTATTTGTACTGTATTTATTAGAAAATGTATTTTACAAAGAATAAGTTGTGCTGGGGAAAATAAAACCTATGTAATGTAATGTAATGGACGCAGGTGGCGCTGTGGCTTAAACCACAGAGCCTAGGATTTGCCAATCAGAAGGTCAGCAGTTCGAATCCCCGTGACGGGATGAGCTCTCGTTGCTCAGTCCCTGCTCCTGCCAACCTAGCAGTTCTAAAGCACGCCAAAGTGCAGGTAGATAAATAGGTACCGCTCCGGCGGGAAGGCAAACGGCGTTTCTGTGCGCTGCTCTGGTTTGCCAGAAGCAGCTTAGTCATGCTGGCCACATGACCCAGAAGCTGGACGCTGGCTCCCTAGGCCAGTAAAGCGAGATGAGCACCGCAACCCCAGAGTTGGTCACGACTGGACCTAATGGTCAGGGGTCCCTTTACCTTTACCTTTACTAATGTAATGTAATGCCTGCAAAATCTTGTAACTCCAATTAAGGGCACAGAAATGCTGAATCGTGGGCTTGTCAATGTGTTAATGCCCTTTAAAAGTGACCGTGAGTATGTCTGAAGGAGGACAGACAAGTGACCATGAGTATGTCTGGTGAGGACAGACAAGCTATAATATATGGGCTGCTTCAAAGGAGTTTGGGAAGTTAGAAGATCCTCTCTTGGACTCAAGAGAGTGAGATGCGTTGCATTGGACTTAGCATATATGTATGATATTGCTTGTAATAGCTGCCATCCTGCAAGTAAAGAGTCATCTTCAAAGTCTCGTGTGTGGATTCTACTTCATCACTAGGGCTTCGAGGGTGAAACCGCTGCATCACTCTGCGTGACTCAGGAAAAAAGCAAGGCTTACTTCAAAGCTGTGACTTTGCATCCCGAATACTCTGGGCCGATACTGCCTACGGAGAAGATTCTGCCAAGCTGGGAAAAAAGACAAGATACATTGAGTACATTGAACCTAGATGCTCCTCACCTTACGAGAATCAATTTTGGCAAGTGGATCCTAACCCAACTCTTACCAAATGCCTGTCTAAATAAAGAAGAAAAAAAGTCCTAGCCTGTCAGTGGAGGTCAAACTACCAGGGAACACCACCACAGCATCCCAAACAATCGACGCCAACTGGAACCAGTCTTACCAGAGTGGTGAGTGCTTTCTCTGTGGAGTTGAATGCCTTCGAATTGGGAGTTCCCATCTCCGGCTTGTATCTGAGGTTGGTTACGGTGCAGTTCACAGTGAATCGTTCAACCGCCAGGGGTGGGGTTGGGGTTGGTGCTTTGGTTGGCACTGGGGGCAAAACCGCTGGAAAGGAAAACAATGATATCTTGACCGTCTTCTGTTGAAGCTCTATCACGAGACCGTCACCCCCGGTTCTCCTTCCTTGCCCTCCATGTTCTGAATGGACTCAAAATCAGGTTTCCAATGCGGTACTTACTTGTTTCGCGAGGCTGTTCGTTATAGCCTAGGCAAAAGGAAAGGAAGGAATGGTTTGTGTTAGAATGAATGTGATGAAAGAATTCTTGCTTTGATCCCTGGTCTACAAGATGCACTTGCCCATGGCCACTTGGAACCCCCCCCCCCAATATCCTAGGAAGCCGTTACAAATACACAATCAAAGGCACAGAGCCAACCATGTTCCAAGACCCACTCTTCCACTGTTGAACAGCTCTCACCATCAGAAAGTTATTCCTGATGTTTAGTCACAATCTCTTTTCTTGTCATTTGAACCTATTTGTTTGTGTCCTACCCTCTGGTGCAGCAGAAAACAAGTTTGTGTCCTACCCTCTGGTGCAGCAGAAAACAAGCTTTCCCCATCTTCCATGTTCAGATATTTCCTCGCCCTTCCAATGCTTGAAAATGGCTATCCTATCTCCTCTCAGTCTCCTCTTCTCCACACTAAACTTACCCAACTCTCTCAACTATTCTTCATAAGGTTTGGTTTCCAGGCCCTTATTGGTCACCCTCTTCTGCACATGCCAACATCCTTCTTAAATTGTAGTGCCCAGAATTGGACACCGTATTCCAGGTGTGGTCTGACCAAGGCAGAACAGAGTGGGACTATGACTTCCCTTGATATCGACACTAGACTTCTGTTGATGCTGCCTAGAATAGCATTCACATTTTGGCTGCGGTCTCACCCTGTTGATACATGTTAAGCTTGTTGTTTACTAAGACACCTAGACTTTTTTCACATGCTGTCAAGCCAGATGCCTCCCCAATTCTCCTTTCTGCACCTGGTTATTCCTCCCTGAATGTGAAGGAACAACCTGATGCGCAAAGTTTCCCAAACTTCCTAACTTGCCACCCCTTACTCCAAAGTGTAGAGCCACAAAAAGCATTCAGAAGCATTAGAATAATGCAAACACGCCCCAACCCCTTACTACTAAATCTTCTTTAAAAACCAACACTGTGTCCAGTTCTGGGCACCACAGTTCAAGAAGGACACTGACAAACTGGAACGTGTCCAGAGGAGGGCAACCAAAATGGTCAAAGACCTGGAAACGATGCCTTATGAGGAACGGCTAAGGAAGCTGGGCATGTTTAGCCTGGAGAAGAGGAGGTTAAGGGGTGATATGATAGCCATGTTCAAATATATAAAAGGATGTCACATAGAAGAGGAAGAAAAGTTGTTTTCTGCTGCTCCAGAGAAGCGGACACGGAGCAATGGATCCAAACTACAAGAAAGAAGATTCCACCTAAACATTAGGAAGAACTTCCTGACAGTAAGAGCTGTTTGACAGTGGAATTTGCTGCCAAGGAGTGTGGTGGAGTCTCCTTCTTTGGAGGTCTTTAAGCAGAGGCTTGACAACCATATGTCAGGAGTGCTCTGATGGTGTTTCCTGCTTGGCAGGGGGTTGGACTCGATGGCCCTTGTGGTCTCTTCCAACTCTATGATTCTATGATTCTATGATTCTATGTCAGGAGTGCTCTGATGGTGTTTCCTGCTTGGCAGGGGGTTGGACTCGATGGCCCTTGTGGTCTCTTCCAACTCTATGATTCTATGATTCTATGATTCTATGTACCGTTGACGTAGAGGCTGTATCTTTCCATGCTGTAGGGACCCATCTTGGTGAAACCGCTGGTCTGGTTGACGATCTCATGGTACACCTTCACCCGGTCAAAGGCGGGCGTGGTGGAGTCGTTGCGGTAAGTGCAGACGGCGTCCATTCCGGTTTCATCCCCGTCTCTCACCGGTCTGGGGAAAGAGAGAGAGAATTTGGGATGCAGGACTGACCACAAAGGTGGAAAACAGAGGAGGGAGGAAGTCCCTCTTGCCAGAGTGAGAAAGGACCAGAGGATATGCATTTCCGCACTTGAGGAAGGCTTACCTGAGCTGAGTCACTTCGCATCCCAGGTACGCTGGGCCAATGCTGCTCTGGCGGAGAATTCTTCCAAACTGAAGAAGGAAGGAAACATTGAATTGGTGAAATCATCAGGATCACCCACAACACGTCCCATGCCAATCTCACAAGTAGATGGGAATCAGCCTTACCAGCATGGTGAGCGCTTTCTCCGTAGCGTTGAAGGCCTTTGAGTTGGGAGTTCCCATTTCTGGCTTGTATCTGAGGTTGGTTACGGTACAGTTGAGGGTGAAGTGTTCAAGTGTTGGCATTGGGGTTGGCGTTTGTGTTGGCGTTGGCAGAGTGGCTGCAAGTGGAAGAATAGGAGGTACATTGTGTGATGGGATTGTGACACACAGCAAAGCAATCAACAAAAGCATGTTAAAATTTATGCTCTTCCACTTTGGCACGGCCATTACTGACACCTTCATATAACGGCTTCCCTTGAGTTTGTCATGAGGAGCACAATTTAAGGATAATGATATGGTACTTACTTGATGCAACAGGAACCTCATTATAACCTAGGACAAAGAAAGACATGCGGGTTTATGAATGGACCAAGACAGTGGTGTTTCAGTTGTAGACACTTGAAAAGGGTTCAATCCACACTTCCACTGAGTGTAATCCTCCTCAGGGGAGGCTCCCCCCTCTCCATTCTCCATTCCCAAAGTTCCTTCTGCCTATGAGACATGAATTCCCCATTTACAGAGCTCTCAGTTCTGGAGTGAGAGGCCTCATCTCTCAGGAAATCATGGACACAACAAGAAAACTGAGCTCAGAGGAGAGTCTATTTCTGTAGTATGACACAAACCCCACACAGATATAAGGCGTGCACACGAGATGATTAGGAAACAGCTGGTTACCATTGACGTAGAGGCTGTATCTTTCCATGCTGTAGGGACCCATCTTGGTGAAACCGCTGGTCTGGTTGACGATCTCGTGGTACACCTTCACCCGGTCAAAGGCGGGCGTGGTGGAGTCGTTGCGGTAAGTGCAGACGGCGTCCATTCCGGTTTCATCCCCGTCTCTCACCGGTCTGGGAAAAGAGAGAGAGAACTTGGGATGCAGGACTGACCACAAAGGTGGAAAACAGAGGAGGGAGGAAGTCCCTCTTGCCAGAGTGAGAAAGGACCAGAGGATATGCGTTTCCGCACTTGAGGAAGGCTTACCTGAGCTGAGTCACTTCGCATCCCAGGTACGCTGGGCCAATGCTGCTCTGGCGGAGAATTCTTCCAAACTGAAGAAGGAAGGAAACATTGAATTGGTGAAATCATCAGGATCACCCACAACACGTCCCATGCCAGTCTCACAAGTAGATGGGAATCAGACTTACCAGCATGGTGAGCGCTTTCTCTGTAGCGTTGAAGGCCTTTGAGTTGGGAGTTCCCATTTCTGGCTTGTATCTGAGGTTGGTTACGGTACAGTTGAGGGTGAAGTGTTCAAGTGTTGGCATTGGGGTTGGCGTTGGGGTTGGCGTTGGCAGAGTGGCTGCAAGTGGAAGAATAGGATCAGGTAGAGGCATCGTGTGATGGGATTGTGACACACAGCAAAGCAATCAACAAAAGCATGTTAAAATTTATGCTCTTCCACTGAGCCACGGCCATTACTGACACCTTCATATAACTGCTTCCCTTGAGTTTGTCATGAGGAGCACAATTTAAGGATAACGATATGGTACTTACTTGATGCAACAGGAACCTCATTATAACCTAGGACAAAGAAAGACATGCTGGTTTATGAATGGACCAAGACAGTGGTGTTTCAGTTGTAGACACTTGAAAAGGCTTCAATCCAGACTTCCACTGAGTGTAATCCTCCTCAGGGGAGGCTCCCCCCTCTCCATTCCCCATTCCCAAAGTTCCTTCTGCCTATGAAACATGAATTCCCCATTTACAGAGCTCTCAGTTCTGGAGTGAGAGGCCTCATCTCTCAGGAAATCATGGACACAACAAGAAAACTGAGCTCAGAGGAGAGTCTATTTCTGTAGTATGACACAAACCCCACACAGAGATAAGGCATGCACACGAGATGATTAGGAAACAGCTGGTTACCGTTGACGTAGAGGCTGTATCTTTCCATGCTGTAGGGACCCATCTTGGTGAAACCACTGGTCTGGTTGACGATCTCGTGGTACACCTTCACCCGGTCAAAGGCGGGCGTGGTGGAGTCGTTGCGATAAGTGCAGACGGCGTCCATTCCAGTTTCATCCCCATCACTCACAGGTCTGGGAGGAAAGAGAGAGAGATGTTGAACAGAATTATGAGCAGTTGGAACGGTTGGCGGGACAGGATCATTCGTGTCTGTTCAAGGGATGATCAGAGCTAAAAGGTTCCTGTGTTTGAGGATGGCTGACCTGAGCTGAGTCACTTTGCATCCCACATACGCCGGGCCAATGCTGCTGTTGCGGAGAATTCTTCCCAGCTGAAAAATGAAGGAAGCATTGAGTACATCAAACCAATAGGATCATGGGAAGCTATTCTCACAAGTGGGCAGGAATTGGACTTACCAGCGTGGTGAGAGCTTTCTCTGTAGCGTTGAAGGCCTTTGAATTGGGCGTCCCCATTTCTGGGTTATACTTGAGGTTGGTTACGGTCCAGTTGACGGTGAAGGGTTCAACTGCCAGGGCTGGGGTTGGTGTCAGGGCTGGTGGAGGGGCTACCACAGGAAATGAAATAAATGGATCAGGCAGAGGCTAGCACCTCATTGCATGGTGTGACTGATCAGAATAACAACCAATCAATTTATATGTGTTCACATAGATGCTCTTCAATTGACAAACGGCCAACACTATTGCCTTCCTATAACTTCCTTGGGTTTGGTGAAAGGGCCATGAAGGGCTTTAAGATGTAGGATTTTTAAAAGTAAACTTACTTGATTTAGCTGGGACCTCATGGTAACCTGGGGAAAAAGAAGATACACAGGTTTATTAATGAGGCAAGACAGTGGTGTTTCAGATGGAGATTCTGGCAAAGAATAGAACTGGTTGCATCCAGAATTCCCTTGTGTGGTGTATTGCTTGGAAGGTGGGGGTCCTCCAATCTATCTCCCTCCCAACCAGCTCTGTGGGGATTAGGAAAGCTTCTTGAACATGGGCTACATGGTGCAGTAATAGGGGCAGCAACAGGGAGGAGGCATCCTTCTCAGTGGTTGATGACCTCTTCCACAATCTATCTCTGCAGCCAATTCAGCTTCCTTCAGCCCATTTGAAAGCACGTCATTCTGGAGATGGAGCCCTCATCTCTCTGAAAACATTAAACCTGATGACCAGACGGGACCCTCAGGACTACCTGAACTGTAACTACGGCACAAACCCCACACAGAGAGGTAATCTATGTACATGAAATCTTCAAGAAGCACTAGGCTACCGTTGACATAGAGGCTGTATCTTTCCATGCTGTAGGGACCCATCTTGGTGAAACCACTGGTCTGGTTGACGATCTCGTGGTACACCTTCACCCGGTCAAAGGCGGGCGTGGTGGAGTCGTTGCGGTAAGTGCAGACGGCGTCCATTCCGGTTTCATCCCCGTCTCTCACCGGTCTGGGGAAAGAGAGAGAGAATTTGGGATGCAGGACTGACCACAAAGGTGGAAAACAGAGGAGGGAGGAAGTCCCTCTTGCCAGAGTGAGAAAGGACCAGAGGATATGCATTTCCGCACTTCAGGAAGGCTTACCTGAGCTGAGTCACTTCGCATCCCAGGTACGCTGGGCCAATGCTGCTCTGGCGGAGAATTCTTCCAAACTGAAGAAGGAAGGAAACATTGAATTGGTGAAATCATCAGGATCACCCACGACAAATCCCATGCCAATCTCACAAGTAGATGGAGATCAGACTTACCAGCATGGTGAGCGCTTTCTCTGTAGCGTTGAAGGCCTTTGAGTTGGGAGTTCCCATTTCTGGCTTGTATCTGAGGTTGGTCACGGTACAGTTGAGGGTGAAGTGTTCAAGTGTTGGCACTGGGGTTGGCGTTGGGGTTGGCGTTGGCAGAGTGGCTGCAAGTGGAAGAATAGGAGGTACATTGTGTGATGGGATTGTGACACACAGCAAAGCAATCAACAAAAGCATGTTAAAATTTATGCTCTTCCACTGAGCCACGGCCATTACTGACTCCCTCATTTTAGTAGTTCCCTTGAGTTTGTCTTGATGAGCACTATTGTTTATATTTTTATTTTATTGGGTTTTATAAACAAGAATAATGTTATAATAATATTAATAATATTAATAATAATAATAATATAATTTTTATTTATACCCCGCCCTCCCCAGCCAAGGCCGGGCTCAGAGCGGATTACAAGCAATAATAAAAACAAGTTGAGTGATTACAACTTAAAAACAAAATTAAAATACAGCATTAAAATATTGAAACATTAAAATATTAAAATGTAGCCTCAACGCAGGAGGAGAAGGAAAAGAAAAAGGAAAGAGAGGGAGGGAATCAAATTGGCTCCAAGCCAAAGACCAGGCGGAACAACTCTGTCTTACAGGCCCTGCGGAAAGAAATCAGATCCTGCAAACAAGTATAGCAAGTATTCTCATGTCGTTTGTGTATCACAAAAATACCATAATAAATGTGGAAAAAATTCTACAACCTATGCACACAATTTAAGGATTATGATATGGTACTTACTTGATGCAACAGGAACCTCATTATAACCTAGGACAAAGAAAGACAAGCTGGTTTATGAATGGAGCAAGACAGTGGTGTTTCAGTTGTAGACACTTGAAAAGGGTTCAATCCAGACTTCCTCTGAGTGTAATCCTCCTCAGGGGAGGCTCCCCCCTCTCCATTCCCCCCTCTTTCCACCTATGAAACATGAAATCCCCTCAGAAGGAAGCTGTACCTGAAGGAAGAACTGAGGGGAGAGACTCCATCAGGCAAGCCCTCCTTCCACCTGCCTTGCTCTACCCTCTAGTCTTTGCTTCCCAATGTGTATTTTATTGTTTTATGTACTGTGGCTTGCCATTGTTTTATTGATTATAGTTTAGATATCATTTATTGTAACTGTTGAGTGGATTTCTGTTTAACTTTTATATGTTGATTGATAGGGAACTGCCATCGGCTCAGAGGCGAGAAATAGAAGGGCAGTTTGTGTTACAGGGATCCTCCGAAAATCTTGCGCCCCACCTCCGGTGGGGAAGAGGTACAAGGACCAGAGGACGCTGGTAGGAGCCTTAACACCACTTCTGGGCAAGCTGGTCTGGAGGGAAACACGCCCTTGCCATCGCCCATTCTGCGCAGAAGTTTGGGGCACAGAGAGGGGAGGAGACGGCTGGGGGTAACGAAACTCTTATGTTGGGGGAGGTTAAAAAAAAAAGACCACTCCCAGATTCTGCTAGCAACTGAGCCAGACATGAGCTTTGGGGCTCTTCACTGTAAATAGTTTGCACAAAAATAAAGCCTGTAAAACACAGGTCCTGTTACTCTCGAGCAACCGCTACAGCCACCTGACATTGATATTATTATTTTATACTATTCTAATGATTGTTGAATGTTACTTTTTTGATGTAGGCTGCCTATTTTAAAGTTATTGTTATTATCACATTTTTGTATTGCATTAGATTGTTATAAGATGTACATTTTTTGTTTCTTCAGCTTGTAAACTGCCTTGAGTATTGTAAGATAGAAAGACGGTATACAAATTAAAAATGATGATGATGATGGAGTGAGAGGCCTCACCTCTCAGGATATCATGGACACAACAAGAAAACTGAGCTCAGTCTATTTCTGTACTATGACACAAACCCCACACAGAGATAAGGCGTGCACACGTGATGATTAGGAAACAGCTGGTTACCATTGACATAGAGGCTGTATCTTTCCATGCTGTAGGGACCCATCTTGGTGAAACCGCTGGTCTGGTTGACAATTTCATGGTACACCTTCACCCGGTCAAAGGTGGGCGTGGTGGAGTCGTTGCGGTAAGTGCAGACGGCGTCCATTCCGGTTTCATCCCCATCACTCACAGGTCTGGGAGGAAAGAGAGAGAGATGTTGAACAGAATTATGAGCAGTTGGAACTGTTGGGTGAGAGGATCATTCGTGTCTGTTCAAGGGATGATCAGAGCTAAAAGGTTCCCATGTTTGAGGATGGCTGACCTGAGCTGAGTCACTTTGCATCCCACATACGCCGGGCCAATGCTGCTGTTGCGGAGAATTCTTCCCAGCTGAAAAATGAAGGAAGCATTGAGTACATCAAACATATAGGATCATGGGAAGCTATTCTCACAAGTGGGCAGGAATTGGACTTACCAGCGTGGTGAGAGCTTTCTCTGTAGCGTTGAAGGCCTTTGAATTGGGCGTCCCCATTTCTGGGTTATACTTGAGGTTGGTTACGGTCCAGTTGACGGTGAAGGGTTCAACTGCCAGGGCTGGGGTTGGTGTCAGGGCTGGTGGAGGGGCTACCACAGGAAATGAAATAAATGGATCAGGCAGAGGCTAGTGGTTCACTGCATGGTGTGACTGACCAAAATAACAACCAATCAATTTATATGTGTTTACATAGATGCTCTTCCATTGACATATGGCCAACACTATTGCCTTTCTATAACTCTTTCCTTGGGTTTGGTGAAAGGGCCATGAAGGGCTTTAAGATGCAGGATTTTTAAAAGTAAACTTACTTGATTTAGCTGGGACCTCATGATAACCTAGGACAAAGGAAGACAGGCTGGTTATGATTGGACCAAAACAGTGGTGTTGTAGTTGTAGGCACTTGAAAAGGGTTCAATCCAGACTTCTTCTGAGCGCAATCCTCCTTAGGGGAGGCTCCCCCTTCTCTATGCCCCATTCCCAAATTTCCTTCTGCCTATGAAACGTGACATCCTCAGTTTGGGAGTGAGGAGCCTCATCTCTCAGGAAAGCATGGACACAACAAGAAAACTGAGCTTAGAGGACAGTCTATTCTATTCCATTACACAAACCACAGACAGTTAATCTATGCACATGAAGTGACTAAGAATCTCTTGGCTACCGTTGACGTAGAGGCTGTATCTTTCCATGTTGTAGGGACCCATCTTGGTGAAGCCACTCGTCTGGTTGACAATCTCATGGTACACCTTCACCCGGTCAAAGGCTGGCGTGGTGGAGTCATTGCGGTAAGTGCAGACGGCGTCCATTCCAGTTTCCTCCCCATTTCTCACCGGTCTGGGAGGAGAGAGAAAGAATTTCAGGTGTAGGACAGACCATGAAGGTGGACAACAGAGGAGGGATGAAGTCACTGTTGCCAGAGTGAGAAAGGACCAGAGGATATATGTTTCCGCACTTGAGGAAGGCTTACCTGAGCTGAGTCACTTCGCATCCCAGGAACGCCGGGCCAATGCTGCTGTTGCGGAGAATTCTTCCAAACTGAAGAAGAAAAGAAACACTTAATTGGTGAAATCAACAGTCTCACTCACACCTCATTGCATGCCATTCTCACAAGTGGCCCAGAATCAGACTTACCAGCATGGTGAGCACTTTCTCTGTAGCGTTGAAGGCCTTTGAGTTGGGCGTTCCCATTTCTGGTTTGTATCTGAGGTTGGTTACGGTACAATTGATGGTGAAGTGTTCAAGTGTTGGGATTGGGGTTGGCGACTGTGTTGGTGCTGGCAAAGTGGCTGGAACAGGAGAAGAAAGATATGTACTAGGGTCAAGAGATTTATAGCATTATACAATTATTATATCCTATACATTAATGGGTGCTCATATTGACACCCTGTTCAATGATATATTACCAAAAGTTTTAATATCATGAGACTCATCCCTGACTATGTTGTAAGAGACTCTACTTAAAAATACTTAGGTGGTACTTACTTGCTTCAAGAGGGGCTTCATTGTAACCTAGAAAAGGACAAGATACACTGGGAGTGTGTTGTGTTAAAATTTCAATGTGGTTCTACTTACTTGTTTCAGGAGGGTCTTCATGATAACCTACAGAAAAGTAAGAGACGGTCATTTGAGAAGCTCTCAATATATTGATGTTTAAAATAAGGAGGTTTCTTTTTCTGGGGCAGGAGAATTGTGTTCTCCTGTGCATCTCCTCCTGTGTTCGGAAGATGCACTAAGCAGAGTCAATGAGAAGCATCTCACACGTATTATGACACAATCATGTCCATCACATGACAATCACCTCAATCAGCTTTGGACACTTTCATGACATGGGGAGGCCTCCTGGGCAGAGGACAAAAACCTCATAGCATCATCCCTGCACCCAGATTCGCACAGCAACTCAAGCAGGAACAAAATTACTTGAAAATACCCCAGCATTTAGTTTGCAAGAAAGGGTCTGAATATCTCTGCAAACATTGACTCAGATGAAGGCTGGGCTTGGGGGTACTGCACAAAACACACACACACATACGGACAAGCTATGCACATCAAGAGCTCCACAACTTGTTTACCATTGACGTAGAGGCTGTATCTTTCCACCTCATAGGGCCCCATCTTGCTGAAGTTGTCCGTCTGGTTGACGATCTCGTGGTACACCTTCACTCGGTCAAAGACGGGGCTGGTGGAGTCATTGCGGTAAGTGCAGACGGCATCCATTCCAGTTTCATCCCCGTTCTTCACTGGTCTGGGAGGACAAAGAGAGAGGGAGATCATTCAGGATGCAGAATGGTCCACAAGGGAAGAAAGGATGGAGTCCCACTGGCAAGGTGTGTTCCCATTGGAGGAAGACTTACCTGAGCTGAGTCACTCTGCACCCCAGATACGCAGGGCCAATGCTGCTGTTGCTGAGGAACCTGCCAAGCTGAGAAAGGAATGAGACACGACATCAAAACAAGAGCCTGGTCTTCCCCTCCTCACAAGCTGTTCTCACAAGCAGTCGCTATCAGACTTACCACTGCGATAAGTGCTCTTTCCGTTGTGTTGAACACTGTAGAATTGGGATGTCCCATCTCTTCCCTGTACTTGAGGTTGGTGACGGTGAAATTGACAGTGAATTGTTCAACCGATGGAATTGGGGTTGTTGTTTGGGCAGGTGTGGGCAGAGTGGCTGGAACAGACATAGGTATTTCATAAATTTCCATTGCACCCTTCCCAAAGGGGAACCAGAAAAGTTAAAACAAGAGAAAATCAAATGAAGGAATTCCCAGAATACAATAATTAAAATGCAAGACATCAAACTCCCAGGTCTCACACAACATATGTTTCCTCGTTAAGAGAATGAAATACTTTTAATTTCAACAAAAGTCGGTGGGATGGTGTAAATGTGAATTGAGAAAACCAAATAAAGCAATATTCAGAATGCAAGAATTAAAACAAAGGCCATGAAACTTCATATTCTCAAACTATATATCCCCTTCTGAACAGATTGAAATATTTGCAATGTCAACTTGGTGTTGATCACATGGTGAGACTGATAAATCTAACAAATGAATCACTTGAATCAAAGAAGCTTCATTTTGTTACTCTTCCACTCATGCATTGTCAACATCAGCTACTCTGATTGTCAGAAGGGGGGTGTTGTGTTACAATTTCAATGTGGTTCTACTTACTTGTTTCAGGAGGGTCTTCATGATAACCTACAGAAAAGTAAGAGATGGTCATTTGAGAAGCTCTCAATATATTGATGTTTAAAATATGGAGGGTTTTTTTCTGGGGCAGGAGAATAGTTATGTCCTCCTGTATTCAGAAGATGCACTAAGCAGAGGCAGTGAGAAGCATCTCACACGCATTATGACACAATCATGTCCATCACATGACAATCACCTCAATCAGCTTTGGACACTTTCATGACATGGGGAGGCCTCCTGGGCAGAGGACAAAAACGTCATAGCATCATCCCTGCACCCAGATTGGCAAAGCAACTCAAGCAGGTACAAAATCACTGGAAAATACCATAGCATTCAGTTCACAAGCAGCGATCCTAATATCTCTGTAAACATTGGCTCAGATGAAGGCTGGGCTTGAGGGTACTGCACAAAACACACACAGAGAGACAATATATGTACATCAAGGGCTCCACAACCTGTTTACCATTGACGTAGAGGCTGTATCTTTCCACCTCATAGGGCCCCATCTTGCTGAAGTTGTCCGTCTGGTTGACGATCTCATGGTACACCTTCACTCGGTCAAAGACGGGGCTGGTGGAGTCATTGCGGTAAGTGCAGACGGCGTCCATTCCAGTTTCATCCCCGTTCTTCACTGGTCTGGGAGGACAAAGAGAAGGAGATCATTCAGGATGCAGAATGGTCCACAAGGGAAGAAAGGATGGAGTCCCACTGGCAAGGTGTGTTCCCATTGGAGGAAGACTTACCTGAGTTGAGTCACTCTGCACCCCAGATATGCAGGGCCAATGCTGCTGTTGCTGAGGAATCTGCCAAGCTGAGAGAGGAATGAGACACGACATCAAAACAAGAGCCTGGTCTTCCCCTCCTCACAAGCCGTTCTCACAAGCAGTCGCTATCAGACTTACCACTGCAATGAGTGCTCTTTCCGTTGTGTTGAACACTGTAGAATTGGGATGTCCCATCTCTTCCCTGTACTTGAGGTTGGTGACGGTGAAATTGACGGTGAATCGTTCAACCGATGGAATTGGGGTTGTTGTTTGGGCAGGTGTGGGCAGAGTGGCTGGAACAGACATAGGTATTTCATAAATTTCCATTGCACCCTTCCCAAAGGGGAAGCAGAAAAGTTAAAGCAAGAGAAAATCAAATGAAGGAATTCCCAGAATACAATAATTAAAATGCAAGACATCAAACTCCCAGGTCTCACACAACATATGTTTCCTCGTTAAGAGAATGAAATACTTTTAATTTCAACAAAAGTCGGTGGGATGGTGTAAATGTGAATTGAGAAAAGAAAACCAAATAAAGCAATATTCAGAATGCAAGAATTAAAACAAAGGCCATGAAACTTCATATTCTCAAACTATATATCCCTTCTGAACAGATTGAAATATTTGCAATGTCAACTTGGTGTTGATCACATGGTGAGACTGATAAATCTAACAAATGAATCACTTGAATCAAAGAAGCTTCATTTTGTTACTCTTCCACTCATGCATTGTCAACATCAGCTACTCTGATTGTCAGAAGGGGGGTGTTGTGTTAAAATTTCAATGTGGTTCTACTTACTTGTTTTAGGAGGGTCTTCATGATAACCTACAGAAAAGTAAGAGATGGTCATTTGAGAAGCTCTCAATATATTGATGTTTAAAATATGGAGGGTTTTTTTCTGGGGCAGGAGAATAGTTATGTCCTCCTGTATTCAGAAGATGCACTAAGCAGAGGCAGTGAGAAGCATTTCACACGTATTATGACACAATCATGTCCATCACATGACAATCACCTCAATCAGCTTTGGACACTTTCATGACATGGGGAGGCCTCCTGGGCAGAGGACAAAAACGTCATAGCGTCATCCCTGCACCCAGATTGGCACAGCAACTCAAGCAGGAACAAAATCACTTGTAAATACCCCAGCATTTAGTTCGCAAGCAGGGATCCTAATATCTCTGCAAACATTGACTCAGATGAAGGCTGGGCTTGGGGGTACTGCACAACACACACACACACATACGGACAAGCTATGCACATCAAGAGCTCCACAACTTGTTTACCATTGACGTAGAGGCTGTATCTTTCCACCTCATAGGGCCCCATCTTGCTGAAGTTGTCCGTCTGGTTGACGATCTCGTGGTACACCTTCACTCGGTCAAAGACGGGGCTGGTGGAGTCATTGCGGTAAGTGCAGACGGCGTCCATTCCAGTTTCATCCCCGTTCTTCACTGGTCTGGGAGGACAAAGAGAGAGGGAGATCATTCAGGATGCAGAATGGTCCACAAGGGAAGAAAGGATGGAGTCCCACTGGCAAGGTGTGTTCCCATTGGAGGAAGACTTACCTGAGTTGAGTCACTCTGCACCCCAGATATGCAGGGCCAATGCTGCTGTTGCTGAGGAATCTGCCAAGCTGAGAGAGGAATGAGACACGACATCAAAACAAGAGCCTGGTCTTCCCCTCCTCACAAGCCGTTCTCACAAGCAGTCGCAATCAGACTTACCACTGCGATGAGTGCTCTTTCCGTTGTGTTGAACACTGTAGAATTGGGATGTCCCATCTCTTCCCTGTACTTGAGGTTGGTGACGGTGAAATTGACGGTGAATTGTTCAACCGATGGAATTGGGGTTGTTGTTTGGGCAGGTGTGGGCAGAGTGGCTGGAACACACATAGGTATTTCATATATTTCCATTCCACCCTTCCCAAGGGGAAAGCAGAATAGTTAAAACAAGAGGAAATCAAATGAAGGAATTCCCAGAATACAATAATTAAAATGCAAGACATCAAACTCCCAGGACTCAAACAATATATGTTTCCTCGTTAAGAGAATGAAATACTTTTAATTTCAACAAGAAGTTGATGGAATTGTGTGACTGAAAATTGAGGAAAAGAAAACGAAACAAAGCAATATTCAGAATGCAAGAATTAAAACAAAGGTCATGAAACTCCATATTCTCAAACAATATATCCCCTTCTTAACAGATTCAAATATTTTGAATGTCAACCAGAAGTCGATCACATGGCAAGATTTGGAAATCTAATCAATCAAACAAACAAACAAACAAACAAACAAACAAACAAACCAAAGAGTGCTCACGTTGCTATCCTTCCCCTGGTGCAATTTCCAAATCACCCCCCCCCCCATCCCATCACTCTTTTCCCTGTTTTTATCAGATTGGGGTGTTGTTTTCAGAATTTAAATTTGGTTCTACTTACTCATTTCAGGAGGGGTTTCATGATAACCTATGGAAATGGGAGAGACGTTAATTCAGGAAATTGCATAATGTAATACAACAAACAGGCTTTTCAAAGATAATAGTAACTGGTTGGGATTTCTCACTATTTTGGACGGTGCATTGTCTGTACACAGGAATGAACATCCTTCACTTCTATGAGAAAATCATCTCACTGCCAAGGGAGCCTCAGACCCTCACACAACATCTGGTGAAAACCTCCATAGTCATATCTCTGCATCACGATTAGCCCCGTTCTACCCAAACAACACACAGTATCATATTCATCAAAGTCCACAGCATTCTGTCTCAGAAATTTGGCTTCTGGAGAAGGCTGGGCTGGGGATACTGCTGTGTTGCTTTTATTAACATTCATGGATACACACACACATCCACACACATCCAGATAATTGATGCACATCCAAAGCTTAGAAACCACTCAGCTACCGTTGACGTAGAGGCTGTATCTTTCCAGATAGTATTGCCCCATCTCAGTGAAACCGTTGGTCTGGTTGACGATCTCGTGGTACAACTTCACTCGGTCAAAGACGGGCGTGGTGGAGTCGTTGCGGTAAGTGCAGACGGCGTCCATTCCGGTTTCATCCCCATCTCTCACCGGTCTGGGAGGAGAGGGAAATCAGGATTCAGGATTGACCACAGATATGGACAAGGGAGGACAGAAGATGCCAACCTTGTTTGCCTGGGTTGCCAGCAGAGCAGATATGTTCTCACCTTTGAGGAAGGCTTACCTGAGTTGAGTCACTCTGCACCTCAGATATGCCGGGCCAATGCTGCTGTTGAGGAGAATTCTGTCAAGCTGAGGAAGGAAAGAGACATTGAGCATATTCCACCCTACAGAAAGTGTATAAATTTATCCACACATCCCTTGCTAACTGCCATGGAGTCAGGCTTACCAGGCGGCGGAGATCACTCTCCGTTGCATTGAATATTTTGGAATTCTGAATTCCCATCTCTTCCCTGTATTTGAGGTTGGTGACGGTGAAATTGACAGTGAATTGTTCAACCGATGGAATTGGGGTTGTTGTTTGGGCTGACGTCGGCAGAGTGGCTGGAAGAGACGTAGGTATTTTATGAATTTGCATTCCACCCTTCCCAAAGGGGAAGCAGAATAGTAAAAAGAAGAGGAAATCAAATGAAGGAATTGCCAGAATACAATAATTAAAATGCAAGACATCAAACTCCCAGGTCTCATGATATATGTTTCCTCCTTAAGAGATTGAAATACTTTTAATTTCAACAAAAGTCGATGGAATGGTGTGACTGAGAATTCAGAAAAGCAAAGCAAATAAAGAAATATTCAGAATGCAAGAATTAAAACAAAGGACATGAAACTCCATATTCTCATATATCCCCTTCTTAACAGATTGAAATATTTTGTATGTCAACTAAGTGTCGATCACATGGTGAGACTGATAAATCTAACAAATGAATCACTTGAATCAAAGGAGCTTCATTTTGGTACTCTTCCACTCATGCATTGTGGACATCAGCTCCTCTGATTGTCGGGGGGGGGGGGCGCTTGCTGTGTTAGAATTTAAATTTGGTTCTACTTACTTGTTTCAGGAGGGGTTTCATGATAACCTATGGAAATGGAAGAGACGTTAATTCAGGATATTGCATAATGTAATACCACAAACAGGCTTTTCAAAGATAATAGTAACTGGTTGGGATTTCTCACTATTTTGGATGGTGCACTGTCTGTACACAAAAATGAACATCCTTCACTTCTATGAGAAAATCATCTCACTGCCAAGGGAGCCTCAGACCCTCACACAACATCTGGTGAAAACCTCCATAGTCATATCTCTGCATCATGATTAGCCCCGTTCTACCCAAACAACACACAGTATCATATTCATCAAACTCCGCAGCATTCTGTCTCAGAAATTTGGCTTCTGGAGAAGGCTGGGCTGGAGAAACTGCTGTGTTGCTTTTATTAACATTCATGGATACACACACATCCAAACACATCCAGATAATTGATGCACATCCAAAGCTTAAAAACCACTCAGCTACCGTTGACGTAGAGGCTGTATCTTTCCAGATAGTATTGCCCCATCTCAGTGAAACCGTTGGTCTGGTTGACGATCTCGTGGTACACCTTCACTCGGTCAAAGGCGGGCGTGGTGGAGTCGTTGCGGTAAGTGCAGACGGCATCCATTCCAGTTTCATCCCCATCTCTCACCGGTCTGGGAGGAGAGGGAAATCAGGATTCAGGATTGACCACAGATATGGACAAGGGAGGACAGAAGATGCCAACCTTGTTTGCCTGGGTTGCCAGCAGAGCAGATATGTTCCTACCTTTGAGGAAGGCTTACCTGAATTGAGTCACTTTGCACCTCAGATATGCCGGGCCAATGCTGCTGTTGAGGAGAATTCCATCAAGCTGAGGAAGGAAAGAGACATTGAGCTTATTCCACCCTACAGAAAGTATACAAATTTATCTACACATCCCTTGCTAACTGCCATGGAGTCAGGCTTACCAGGCGGAGGAGATCACTCTCTGTTGCATTGAATATTTTGGAATTGTGAGTTCCCATCTCTTCCCTGTACTTGAGGTTGGTGATGGTGAAATTGACGGTGAATTGTTCAACCGCTGGAATTGGGGTTGTTGTTTGGGCTGGTGTTGGCAGAGTGGCTGGAACAGAGGGAGGAATAAATGAACGTGTGTATTCGGTAAATTTCTACCCCACTCTTCCTTACCAAAGGGCACCCAGGATGGTTAAAAATGGGAAATCAAATAAAGCAATACCCAGAATACAATATTTGAAATGAATGTCATAAGTTTGCCCGCCTTCAAAGGTGGCGTGCCCAGGGGGCTCCAATTATCTGTTGGCTGGCTGGGGAAGGATCTCCCAACTGCCGGCAAATTGGCCAATGCCGGCAGGTTTCAGGTGGGAGTTCCCCAGAGGTAGGCCTCTGGAACCCCTTCCCATCAAATGCCAAGGAGATAAGTAACTATACAATATCCGCCCTCCCTTCCCCACAGGTGGGCGGGATTTGCGGCACCGAATGAGGCTCACCTGGGCGGGTGCCACCCACCTGCTTGAGCTGGCCTTTGACCCGCCCTCGGCCAGGGAGGACAATGGACGGCCAGCCGGAGGTGGGCCTAAGGCCAAAAGAAAAGAGGCTGACTCCTGGGCTCAAGCCTCTTTTGCCGTTCTCCCTTCCAGGATCAGGATCAAGATCAGGAGCGTGTCCAGGCGGCCGGACTGAGGTAAGTAACCGGCCTTCTTTACTTTTTTGGAGCTTTTCCCTGGCAACAGCGTGGGGGGGAGCTGGCTCCTCCACTGGCAGATGATTGCCCAGGGCGCTGCCAGCCTGAGTGGGCAGCATGGCCAACTGAGTAGGCCGCTAGGTTGGCCTACTAGCCTACCTAGCTTGCATTTGCGGCGGGGGGGGCACCGGGAGGGTGGCGCGGGCCCAACTAGGCCGCAGAACGCCAGTGTGGTGTAGTGGTTAAGAGCGGTGGACTCGTAATCTGGTGAACCGGGTTCGCTTCCCTGCTCCTTCACATGCAGCTGCTGGGTGACCTTGGGCTAGTCACACTTCTCTGAAGTCTCTCAGCCCCACTCACCTCACAGAGTGTTTGTTTGGGGGGAGGAAGGGAAAGGAGAATGTGAGCCGCTTGGAGACTCCTTAGGGTAGTGATAAAGCGGGATATCAAATCCAAACTCTAGTTCTTCTTTTCAGGGGTGGGGAGGCGGCATCGCTCCCTGCCAGCGCCTGACTCCTGACTAGGCCGCAAAAGCGGTCAATCTTTACAATCTTTAGAATCTTTACAATCTTTAGAAGACAACTAAAGGCAGCCTGGTATTGGGAAGTTTTTAAAATGTTTTTTAATGTTTAATGTTTTTGTATCTGCTGGAAGCTGCCCAGAGTGGCTGGGGAAACCCAGTCAGATGTGTGGGGTCTAAATAATAAAATCATTAGTAACATGCTTCCAGCTCCCCCTCCTTTTAAAAATCATTTTTAAATAATTAAAAACAAAACCATCACTATGAAATTTTCTTACTTGTCAACTGGGATGCCGTGGAGGAAATTACTGGCGGCTGTCTGGGGGTTGTCACTACCGGGGTAATTTTGATGGTTGTGCGGGCTGTTGCAGGTATAAGTGGAGGCAGCGGAGGTTTTGCGGAAGAGCCTATGGAGGAAATAGAGAGCCGGGGGTTACCATGAGAAGATGTGATGGGGAGATGAGATAATCCTTCTCCCTTGCCTGCCCTTTAAGTCCCCAGAAAGGGTTCATATCAATAAAATCAAAAGAGAGCTTATGTGATGCATGCTTAGAGCACTGGTTCTCAAAGTATCATCGCCTCGTCCTGGTGAGTGGGCTTGCATGTTCCTATGACCCTTGTGAGCGTAGCTGTCGGGAATCTCGTACTCCCAGCAGGGTCACCCAAGGCAGTAAGGTCAAAGGGAAGGAGCTAGACAAAGAATGATCCAAGAAGTCCTCAACAGCAGAACAGGCGGAAGATAACAAGGGGCATGTTACAACGGTTGTGAAGGCGGACGAAGAAACTACCGGTCGCCGTGATACTCATGCCATCGGAATACAGCCTTACTGATCCCCACACATAAAACAAATTCACACACAGGCTTCTTCAAAAAAGCCACCGCACCACTCAAAAAAAGTCCCATGGTGATTGGCAAATGGTAACAGGAGCAGGACTGTGAAATGTGGACGCCCTAGTCATGAACCAGGACATGGGCGGCGGATACAGATTCAGTCATTCTGACTAAAGGAATGAGGCAGTTGAGCAGCTCGGCAGCTGCATCCATCTCTGAGCCACCCCTGCTCTGGATCCATTCTGCTTACCCCGAAAAGGGGGAGGGACTAGAAAAGGATGTGTGGATCCAGAATTGAAAGGAGAGGATGGCAAGTGTGGCAGGAAGATTCAAGGACAATCCAAGAAACATTTCAGTGTAGTAGAGTATCTATCTATCTATCTATCTATCTATCTATATCTATCATCTATATCTATCTATCTATCTATCTATCTATCTATCTATCTATCTATCATCTATCTGCAGAATATGGATAGACATCTTTTCAAAATGAGAGCAAGACCGGCCAGGGACATTGTAGTGAAGGGTGGGTCAGAAAGTGAATTATCCCTAACAGTATCAGCAATAGTTAATACTTACTTGTTGTTCCGACACGGGGCGTAGTTGCTTGTGGCGTTGTGGCATTCTTAACACCTCCCGGCTGCAGGATTGGCTTCTCAGTAACAGGCTGGATCACAGATTCGTTGCGTTTGGTGACTGGAAGGGGACAGATTTCCATTACTGCCGGCCAGAGATTTTTGCTGACATGTCTTTGCTGACGCTCCCACTTTCAGACACAGACTCTCAGCTCGGTTTCCATCAGCCAGTGCATCGGTTGCAATGATGCATACGGCATGCGGGTCAAGAAATGCAACCGAGGCCGAGATATGTGGCAAAGGAGAAGCTAAGATGTTGTGCCAACAACTGACAGTCCCAGTGCTGTGGCATGGCATAGGGGGCCCCAGAGGCGATTGCCCTGGGCACAAAATTGTAAGGGGCACAAAATTTCAACACCCGGTGCTGCCTCAATACAGCTACATGCTTCCGTCACTGGGCTTCTCCATGGGAACCCGGAAGTGACCTCTCCAGACCATGGAACGGCTACTATTTTCTTATCTCTGCAGCTGCAGAGATCTCCTGGGTGACACTTATGCAGTTGAATGTGCATGTGTACTCCAACGGTTTGTTTGCCACCCTGCTCCACGCGGCCCTGGGCAACCCACGCTACGCTACTGGCCCCATGGGGCCTCCCATTCAATGAGCGGAGAAGTCAGACACTTGTATGGTTGGTGTCCTGATCCTCAGGCAGGACCAGTGAGAGGAGGTCTGGCGGAACCCCCAACAACAGCGGACTGTCGAAAAGTCTTTACATGGGATAGAAAATACCGTATTTTTTGCTCTATAAGACTCACTTTTTCCCTCCTAAAAAGTAAGGAGAAATGTGTGTGCATCTTATGGAGCGAATGCAGGCTGAGCAGCTATCCCAGAAACCAGAACAGCAAGAGGGATTGCTGCTTTCGCTGCGCAGCGATCCCTCTTGCTGTTCTGGCTTCTGGGATTCAGAATATTTTTTTTCTTGTTTTCCTCCTCCAAAAACTAGGTGCGTCTTGTGGTCTGGTGCGTCTTATAGAGCGAAAAATATGGTAAATGTGTCACCTCATTCTTATGTTAATAACAAACATTATAATATTTGTACCTGTTGAGAATATTCAAATGCAAATGACTCTTTTCTGACAGTGCTGGGGTCACATCAGACTGCTGAAATGCAACACTTGGGGTCTCAGGATCCACTGGGGTTGGCTTCTCTCGGGCCGTCCCCAAGGCCAAGGCCGCCTATCTACTGAGCACCTCCTTGGGATCCAGTTCTGAGAGTTCTACATCCTCATCCCATTCCTCCACCCGCTCTGACCAAACCTTCCAAGATCTCTCCACAGGTCTCAGGACACCAACCCATCCTCCAGGTCTCCCCATCCTCCACTGCTTCCTGTTTGTGTCAGACACGGGGTGCCTGGGCCAGGTGACCCCATACCTGTTCCTTGCAAAGCATCCTGTATATAAAGGAAGGGATCGTCCAGGTTTCCTTTTGTGCCGTGTTCCTAGGCTGAGGTTCGCCCTTTGCATGAGAGGGTTAAGACCATAGAGTAAGCTGTCCTGACAGGCTTAAAGGTAAAGGTAAAGGGACCCCAGACAGTTAAGTCCAGTGGCGAATGACTCTGGGGTTGCAGCGCTCATCTCGCTTTACTGGCCGAGGGAGCCGGCATTTGTCCACAGTTTTTCCGGGTCATGTGGCCAGCATGACTAAGTCGCTTCTGGCAAAACCAGAGCAGCGCACGGAAATGCCGTTTACCTTCCCGCCAGAGTGGTACCTATTTATATACTTGCACTGTGTGCTTTCGAACTGCTAGGTGGGCAGGAGCAGGGACTGAGCAATGGGAGCTCACCCCGTCGCGGGGATTCGAACCGCCAACCTTCTGATCGGCAAGTTCAAGCGGCAGTGGTTTAAACCACAGCGCCTGAGAAGCTCAACATGTGAGGAGCTCTGAGCTAGTTGCTGCAGCTCAGACCACATTGTTCTTATAAGCCTCTCTTGAGTTACTAAACCAATAATATAGGAAAAATTTACCACTGTAACTAAACTAAGTTTTACTGCCTGTGCAACTTTTTCTGAATTCTGTATGGAAAATGGCATGAATCTGACCTTCGGAGAGTTTGTAAGTAAACCACTCTTAACTTTTAAAAAAGTGGAAAGGCTGAGTCCTTTTTTCCTGCCCCAGCAGTTTACTTGGCAGAAGACTGCACTTTATCACTAAATTGGCAGAAAACCTGAAATGCCATTTGTTCCATTTCAGCATTAAACAGCAAGTTTTTGTCCTGAAAGAGTCAGGGTTGTTGGCTTTTTTCTAACATTCAGATACAGCATTATAAACCACAGACCTGCACCTAGAAAATTTGGGGAAAGATAAGTGTGGATGAGCCCTTAGGAAATAAAGGAACATACCTCTCTCTGTCTCTAAAGTGGTGGCTGTCTCTGATGTGAATCCAGCAGACACTCCATGGGAAGTAGAAAGAGCTATGGACCATGATGTTAACTCAGTAGTACCCGTTGCAGAAGTGGAGGGATGTTCTCCACTAGACGTGACCTCCACAGGTACTATGGGAATAGTGGAGGCAACATGTACAGTTGATGTTACCTCTGTAGTTTCTACTGGAGAAGTGGATAAAGATTTTGCACTTGATGGGAGCTCTGTGGTCTGCAGTGGAGAAGTGGTGGCTTCTGGTACAGTTGATGTCAGCACTGTAGTCTCCATTGCTGAACTGGATAGAGCCTCAGTACTGGATGGGAGCTCTGTGGTCTGCAGTGGAGAAGTGGTGGCTTCTGGTACAGTTGATGTCAGCACTGTAGTCTCCATTGGTGTAGTGGATAGAGCCTCAGTACTGGATGGGAGCTCTGTGGTCTGCAGTGGAGAAGTGGTGGCTTCAGGTACAGTTGATGTCAGCACTGTAGTCTCTATTGGTGTAGTGGATAGAGCCTCAGTACTGGATGGGAGCTCTGTGGTCTGCAGTGGAGAAGTGGTGGCTTCTGGTACAGTTGATGTCAGCACTGAGGTCTCCATTGGTGAAGTGGATAGAGCCTCAGTACTTGATGGGAGCTCTGTGGTCTGCAGTGGAGAAGTGGTGGCTTCTGGTACAGTTGATGTCAGCACTGTAGTCTCCATTGGTGTAGTGGATAGAGCTTCAGTACTGGATGGGAGCTCTGTGGTCTGCAGTGGAGAAGTGGTGGCTTCTGGTACAGTTGATGTCAGCACTGTAGTCTCCATTGGTGAAGTGGATAGAGCCTCAGTACTTGATGGGAGCTCTGTGGTCTGCAGTGGAGAAGTGGTGGCTTCTGGTACAGTTGATGTCAGCACTGTAGTCTCCATTGGTGAAGTGGATAGAGCCTCAGTACTGGATGTTAGCTCTGTGGTCTGCAGTGGAGAAGTGGTGGCTTCTGGTACAGTTGATGTCAGCACTGTAGTCTCCATTGGTGAAGTGGATAGAGCCTCGGTACTGGATATGAGCTCTGTTGTCTGCAGTGGAGAAGTGGTGGCTTCTGGTACAGTTGATGTCAGCACTGAGGTCTCCATTGGTGAAGTGGATAGAGCCTCAGTACTTGATGGGAGCTCTGTGGTCTGCAGTGGAGAAGTGGTGGCTTCTGGTACAGTTGATGTCAGCACTGTAGTCTCCATTGGTGAAGTGGATAGAACCTCAGTACTTGATGGGAGCTCTGTGGTCTGCAGTGGAGAAGTGGTGGCTTCTGGTACAGTTGATGTCAGCACTGTAGTCTCCATTGGTGAAGTGGATAGAGCCTCAGTACTGGATGGGAGCTCTGTGGTCTGCAGTGGAGAAGTGGTGGCTTCTGGTACAGTTGATGTCAGCACTGTAGTCTCCATTGGTGAAGTGGATAGAGCCTCAGTACTGGATGGGAGCTCTGTGGTCTGCAGTGGAGAAGTGGTGGCTTCTGGTACAGTTGATGTCAGCACTGTAGTCTCCATTGGTGAAGTGGATAGAGCCTCAGTACTGGATGGGAGCTCTGTGGTCTGCAGTGGAGAAGTGGTGGCTTCTGGTACAGTTGATGTCAGCACTGTAGTCTCCATTGGTGAAGTGGATAGAGCCTCAGTACTGGATGGGAGCTCTGTGGTCTGCAGTGGAGAAGTGGTGGCTTCTGGTACAGTTGATGTCAGCACTGTAGTCTCCATTGGTGAAGTGGATAGAGCCTCAGTACTGGATGGGAGCTCTGTGGTCTGCAGTGGAGAAGTGGTGGCTTCTGGTACAGTTGATGTCAGCACTGTAGTCTCCATTGGTGAAGTGGATAGAGCCTCGGTACTGGATGGGAGCTCTGTGGTCTGCAGTGGAGAAGTGGTGGCTTCTGGTACAGTTGATGTCAGCACTGAGGTCTCCATTGGTGAAGTGGATAGAGCCTCAGTACTGGATGGGAGCTCTGTGGTCTGCAGTGGAGAAGTGGTGGCTTCTGGTACAGTTGATGTCAGCACTGTAGTCTCCATTGGTGAAGTGGATAGAGCCTCAGTACTTGATGGGAGCTCTGTGGTCTGCAGTGGAGAAGTGGTGGCTTCTGGTACAGTTGATGTCAGCACTGTAGTCTCCATTGGTGAAGTGGATAGAGCCTCAGTACTGGATGGGAGCTCTGTGGTCTGCAGTGGAGAAGTGGTGGCTTCTGGTACAGTTGATGTCAGCACTGTAGTCTCCATTGGTGAAGTGGATAGAGCCTCAGTACTGGATGGGAGCTCTGTGGTCTGCAGTGGAGAAGTGGTGGCTTCTGGTACAGTTGATGTCAGCACTGTAGTCTCCATTGGTGAAGTGGATAGAGCCTCAGTACTGGATGGGAGCTCTGTGGTCTGCAGTGGAGAAGTGGTGGCTTCTGGTACAGTTGATGTCAGCACTGTAGTCTCCATTGGTGAAGTGGATAGAGCCTCGGTACTTGATGGGAGCTCTGTGGTCTGCAGTGGAGAAGTGGTGGCTTCTGGTACAGTTGATGTCAGCACTGAGGTCTCCATTGGTGAAGTGGATAGAGCCTCAGTACTGGATGGGAGCTCTGTGGTCTGCAGTGGAGAAGTGGTGGCTTCTGGTACAGTTGATGTCAGCACTGTAGTCTCCATTGGTGAAGTGGATAGAGCCTCAGTACTGGATGGGAGCTCTGTGGTCTGCAGTGGAGAAGTGGTGGCTTCTGGTACAGTTGATGTCAGCACTGTAGTCTCCATTGGTGAAGTGGATAGAGCCTCAGTACTGGATGGGAGCTCTGTGGTCTGCAGTGGAGAAGTGGTGGCTTCTGGTACAGTTGATGTCAGCACTGTAGTCTCCATTGGTGAAGTGGATAGAGCCTCAGTACTGGATGGGAGCTCTGTGGTCTGCAGTGGAGAAGTGGTGGCTTCTGGTACAGTTGATGTCAGCACTGTAGTCTCCATTGGTGAAGTGGATAGAGCCTCAGTACTGGATGGGAGCTCTGTGGTCTGCAGTGGAGAAGTGGTGGCTTCTGGTACAGTTGATGTAAGCACTGTAGTCTCCATTGGTGAAGTGGATAGAGCCTCGGTACTGGATGGGAGCTCTGTGGTCTGCAGTGGAGAAGTGGTGGCTTCTGGTACAGTTGATGTCAGCACTGTAGTCTCCATTGGTGAAGTGGATAGAGCCTCAGTACTGGATGGGAGCTCTGTGGTCTGCAGTGGAGAAGTGGTGGCTTCTGGTACAGTTGATGTCAGCACTGTAGTCTCCATTGGTGAAGTGGATAGAGCCTCAGTACTGGATGGGAGCTCTGTGGTCTGCAGTGGAGAAGTGGTGGCTTCTGGTACAGTTGATGTCAGCACTGTAGTCTCCATTGGTGAAGTGGATAGAGCCTCAGTACTTGATGGGAGCTCTGTGGTCTGCAGTGGAGAAGTGGTGGCTTCTGGTACAGTTGATGTCAGCCCTGAGGTCTCCATTGGTGAAGTGGATAGAACCTCAGTACTGGATGGGAGCTCTGTGGTCTGCAGTGGAGAAGTGGTGGCTTCTGGTACAGTTGATGTCAGCACTGAGGTCTCGATTGGTGAAGTGGATAGAACCTCAGTACTTGATGGGAGCTCTGTGGTCTGCAGTGGAGAAGTGGTGGCTTCTGGTACAGTTGATGTCAGCACTGAGGTCTCCATTGGTGAAGTGGATAGAGCCTCGGTAATGGATGGGAGCTCTGTGGTCTGCAGTGTAGAAGTGGTGGCTTCTGGTACAGTTGATGTCAGCACTGTAGTCTCCATTGGTGAAGTGGATAGAGCCTCAGTACTGGATGGGAGCTCTGTGGTCTGCAGTGGAGAAGTGGTGGCTTCTGGTACAGTTGATGTCAGCAATTTAGTCTCCTTTGGTGAAGTGGATAGAGCCTCAGTACTGGATGGGAGCTCTGTGGTCTGCAGTGGAGAAGTGGTGGCTTCTGGTACAGTTGATGTCAGCACTGTAGTCTCCATTGGTGAAGTGGATAGAGCCTCAGTACTTGATGGGAGCTCTGTGGTCTGCAGTGTAGAAGTGGTGGCTGCTGGTACAGTTGATGTCAGCACTGAGCTCTCCATTGGTGAAGTGGATAGAACCTCAGTACTTGATGGGAGCTCTGTGGTCTGCAGTGGAGAAGTGGTGGCTTCTGGTACAGTTGATGTGAGCACTGAGGTCTCCATTGGTGAAGTGGATAGAGCCTCAGTACTGGATGGGAGCTCTGTGGTCTGCAGTGGAGAAGTGGTGGCTTCTGGTACAGTTGATGTCAGCACTGTAGTCTCCTTTGGTGAAGTGGATAGAGCCGCGGTACTAGATGGGAGCTCTGTGGTCTGCAGTGTAGAAGTGGTGGCTGCTGGTACAGTTGATGTCAGCACTGAGGTCTCCTTTGGTGAAGTGGATAGAGCCGCGGTACTAGATGGGAGCTCTGTGGTCTGCAGTGGAGAAGTGGTGGCTCCTGGTACAGTTGATGTCAGCAATGTAGTCTCCATTGGTGAAGTGGATAGAACTTCAGTACTTGATGGGAGCTCTGTGGTCTGCAGTGGAGAAGTGGTGGCTTCTGGTACAGTTGATGTCAGCACTGTAGTCTCCATTGCTGAACTGGATAGAGCCTCAGTACTTGATGCGAGCTCTGTCGCCTGCAGTGGAGAAGTGGTGGCTTCTGGTACAGTTGATGTCAGCACTGTAGTCTCCATTGCTGAACTGGATAGAGCCTCAGTACTGGATGGGAGCTCTGTGGTCTGCAGTGGAGAAGTGGTGGCTCCTGGTACAGTTGATGTCAGCACTGTAGTCTCCATTGGTGAAGTGGATAGAACTTCAGTACTGGATGGGAGCTCTGTGGTCTGCAGTGGAGAAGTGGTGGCTTCTGGTACAGTTGATGTCAGCACTGAGGTCTCCATTGGTGAAGTGGATAGAACCTCAGTACTTGATGGGAGCTCTGTGGTCTGCAGTGGAGAAGTGGTGGCTTCTGGTACAGTTGATGTCAGCACTGTAGTCTCCATTGGTGAAGTGGATAGAGCCTCAGTACTTGATGGGAGCTCTGTGGTCTGCAGTGTAGAACTGGTGGCTTCTGGTACAGTTGATGTCAGCATTGTAGTCTCCATTGGTGAAGTGGATAGAACTTCAGTACTTGATGGGAGCTCTGTGGTCTGCAGTGGAGAAATGGTGGCTTCTGGTACAGTTGATGTCAGCACTGAGGTCTCCATTGGTGAAGTGGATAGAGCCTCAGTACTGGATGGGAGCTCTGTGGTCTGCAGTGGAGAAGTGGTGGCTTCTGCTGCAGTTGATGTCAGCACTGTAGTCTCGATTGGTGAAGTGGATAGAGCCTCAGTACTGGATGGGAGCTCTGTGGTCTGTAGTGGAGAAGTGGTGGCTTCTGGTACAGTTGATGTCAGCACTGAGGTCTCCATTGGTGAAGTGGATAGAACCTCGGTACTTGATGGGAGCTCTGTGGTCTGTAGTGGAGAAGTGGTGGCTTCTGGTACAGTTGATGTAAGCACTGAGGTCTCCATTGGTGAAGTGGATAGAGCCTCAGTACTGGATGGGAGCTCTGTGGTCTGCAGTGGAGAAGTGGTGGCTTCTGCTGCAGTTGATGCCAGCACTGCTTTCTCTTTTGGAGAAGTTGATAGAGCCTCAGTACTGGATGGGAGCTCTGTGGACTGCTGTGGAGAAGTGGTGAATTCTGGTGCAATTGATGTCAGCACTGTAGTCTCCTTTGGTGAAGTGGATAGAGCCTCAGTACTGGATGGGAGCTCTGTGGTCTGTAGTGGAGACGTGGTGGCTTCTGGTACAGTTGATGTCAGCACTGTAGTCTCCATTGGTGAAGTGGATAGAACCTCAGTACTTGATGGGAGCTCTGTGGTCTGCAGTGGATAAGTGGTGGCTTCTGGTGCAGTTGATGTCAGCCCGGTCGTCTCCATTGGTGAAGTGGATAGAACTTCAGTACTTGATGGGAGCTCTGTGGTCTGCAGTGGAGAAGTTGTGGCTTCTGCTGCAGTTGATGCCAGCACTGCTTTCTCTTTTGGAGAAGTTGATAGAGCCTCAGTACTGAATGGGAGCTCTGTGGACTGCTGTGGAGAAGTGGTGGCTTCTGGTACAGTTGATGTCAGCACTGTAGTCTCCATTGGTGAAGTGGATAGAGCCTCAGCATTTGATGGGGGCACTGTAGTCGAGATCACAGACTCTGTGGCTTCTGCAGATGTCATTGTTGGCCCTGTTGTCTTTGTGGTGGTACTGGATTCAGTTTCGGTACTTGATGGGGGAACCATAGTGGAGGTCACAGAAGTTGTGGCTTCTGCAGATGTCACTGTTGGCCCTGTTGTCTTTGTGGTGGTACTGGATTCAGTTTCGGTACTTGATGGGGGAACCATAGTGGAGGTCACAGAAGTTGTGGCTTCTGCAGATGTCACTGTTGGCCCTGTTGTCTTTGTGGTGGTACTGGATTCAGTTTCGGTACTTGATGGTGGAACCATAGTGGAGATTACAGAAGTTGTGGCTTCTGCAGATGTCATTGTTGGCCCTGTTGTCTTTGTGGTGGTACTGGATTCAGTTTCGGTACTTGATGGGGGAACCATAGTGGAGATCACAAATGTTGTGGCTTCTGCAGATGTCACCGTTGGCCCTGTTGTCTTTGTGGTGGTACTGGATTCAGTTTCGGTACTTGATGGGGGAACCATAGTGGAGATCACAAAAGTTGTGGCTTCTACAGATGTCACTGTTGGCCCTGTTGTCTTTGTGGTGGTACTGGATTCAGTTTCGGTACTTGATGGGAGCACCGACTTTGTGATTGGAGACCCTGTGGCTTCTGCAGATGTCACTGTTGGCCCTGTTGTCTTTGTGGTGGTACTGGATTCAGTTTCGGTACTTGATGGGGGAACCATAGTGGAGATCACAGAAGTTGTGGCTTCTGCAGATGTCACTGTTGGCCCTGTTGTCTTTGTGGTGGTACTGGATTCAGTTTCGGTACTTGATGGGGGCACCGCAGTGGAGATAGGAGACCCTGTGGCTTCTGCAGATGTCACTGTTGGCCCTGTTGTCTTTGTGGTGGTACTGGATTCAGTTTCGGTACTTGATGGTGGACCACTAGTGGAGATCACAGAAGTTGTGGCTTCTGCAGATGTCACTGTTGGCCCTGTTGTCTTTGTGGTGGTACTGGATTGAGTTTCGGTACTTGATGGGGGCACCGACGTGGAGATCATAGAAGTTGTGGCTTCTGCAGATGTCATTGTTGGCCCTGTTGTCTTTGTGGTGGTACTGGATTCAGTTTCGGTACTTGATGGGGGAACCATAGTGGAGATCACAGAAGTTGTGGCTTCTGCAGATGTCACTGTTGGCCCTGTTGTCTTTGTGGTGGTACTGGATTCAGTTTCGGTACTTGATGGGGGAACCATAGTGGAGATCACAGAAGTTGTGGCTTCTGCAGATGTCACTGTTGGCCCTGTTGTCTTTGTGGTGGTACTGGATTCAGTTTCGGTACTTGATGGGGGACCATAGTGGAGATCACAGAAGTTGTGGCTTCTACAGATGTCACTGTTGGCCCTGTTGTCTTTGTGGTGGTACTGGATTCAGTTTCGGTACTTGATGGGAGCACCGAATTGGAGATAGCAGACCGTGTGGCTTCTGCAGATGTCACTGTTGGCCCTGTTGTCTTTGTGGTGGTACTGGATTCAGTTTCGGTACTTGATGGGGGCACCGCAGTGGAGATCACAGAAGTTGTGGCTTCTGCAGATGTCATTGTTGGCCCTGTTGTCTTTGTGGTGGTACTGGATTCAGTTTCGGTACTTGATGGGGGCACCGTAGTGGAGATAACAAAAGTTGTGGCTTCTGCAGATGTCACTGTTGGCCCTGTTGTCTTTGTGGTGGTACTGGATTCAGTTTCGGTACTTGATGGGGGCACCGTAGTGGAGATCACAGAAGTTGTGGCTTCTACAGATGTCACTGTTGGCCCTGTTGTCTTTGTGGTGGTACTGGATTCAGTTTCGGTACTTGATGGGGGCACCGCAGTGGAGATCATAGAAGTTGTGGCTTCCGCAGATGTCATTGTTGGCCCTGTTGTCTTTGTGGTGGTACTGGATTCAGTTTCGGTACTTGATGGGGGAACCATAGTGGAGATCACAGAAGTTGTGGCTTCTGCAGATGTCATTGTTGGCCCTGTTGTCTTTGTGGTGGTACTGGATTCAGTTTCGGTACTTGATGGGGGCACCGCAGTGGAGATCACAGAAGTTGTGGCTTCTACAGATGTCACTGTTGGCCCTGTTGTCTTTGTGGTGGTACTGGATTCAGTTTCGGTACTTGATGGGGGCACCGCAGTGGAGATCATAGAAGTTGTGGCTTCTGCAGATGTCATTGTTGGCCCTGTTGTCTTCGGGGTGGTACTGGATTCAGTTTCGGTACTTGATGGGGGAACCATAGTGGAGATCACAGAAGTTGTGGCTTCTACAGATGTCACTGTTGGCCCTGTTGTCTTTGTGGTGGTACTGGATTCAGTTTCGGTACTTGATGCGGGAACCATAGTGGAGATCACAGAAGTTGTGGCTTCTGCAGATGTCACTGTTGGCCCTGTTGTCTTTGGGGTGGTACTGGATTCAGTTTCGGTACTTGATGGGGGAACCATAGTGGAGATCACAGAAGTTGTGGCTTCTACAGATGTCACTGTTGGCCCTGTTGTCTTTGGGGTGGTACTGGATTCAGTTTTGGTACTTGATGGGGGAACCATAGTGGAGATCACAGAAGTTGTGGCTTCTACAGATGTCACTGTTGGCCCTGTTGTCTTTGTGGTGGTACTGGATTCAGTTTCGGTACTTGATGGGGGAACCATAGTGGAGATCACAGAAGTTGTGGCTTCTGCAGATGTCACTGTTGGCCCTGTTGTCTTTGTGGTGGTACTGGATTCAGTTTCGGTACTTGATGGGGGCACCGCAGTGGAGATCATAGAAGTTGTGGCTTCCGCAGATGTCATTGTTGGCCCTGTTGTCTTTGTGGTGGTACTGGATTCAGTTTCGGTACTTGATGGGGGCACCGCAGTGGAGATCACAGAAGTTGTGGCTTCTACAGATGTCACTGTTGGCCCTGTTGTCTTTGGGGTGGTACTGGATTCAGTTTCGGTACTTGATGGGAGCACCGACTTTGTGATTGGAGACCCTGTGGCTTTTGCAGATGTCAATGTTGGCCCTGTTGTCTTTGTGGTGGTACTGGATTCAGTTTCGGTACTTGATGGGGGAACCATAGTGGAGATCACAGAAGTTGTGGCTTCTGCAGATGTCACTGTTGGCCCTGTTGTCTTCGTGGTGGTACTGGATTCAGTTTCGGTACTTGATGGGGGCACCGCAGTGGAGATCATAGAAGTTGTGGCTACTGCAGATGTCATTGTTGGCCCTGTTGTCTTCGTGGTGGTACTGGATTCAGTTTCGGTACTTGATGGGGGCACCGCAGTGGAGATCATAGAAGTTGTGGCTACTGCAGATGTCATTGTTGGCCCTGTTGTCTTCGGGTGGAACTGGATTCAGTTTCGGTACTTGATGGGGGAACCATAGTGGAGATCACAGAAATTGAGGTCTCTGCAGATGTCACCGTTGGCCCTGTTGTCTTTGTGGTGGTACTGGATTCAGTTTCGGTACTTGATGGGGGAACCATAGTGGAGATTACAGAAGTTGTGGCTTCTGCAGATGTCACTGTTGGCCCTGTTGTCTTCGTGGTGGTACTGGATTCAGTTTCGGTACTTGATGGGGGCACCGCAGTGGAGATCATAGAAGTTGTGGCTACTGCAGATGTCATTGTTGGCCCTGTTGTCTTCGTGGTGGTACTGGATTCAGTTTCGGTACTTGATGGGGGCACCGCAGTGGAGATCATAGAAGTTGTGGCTACTGCAGATGTCATTGTTGGCCCTGTTGTCTTCGGGGTGGTACTGGATTCAGTTTCGGTACTTGATGGGGGAACCATAGTGGAGATCACAGAAATTGAGGTCTCTGCAGATGTCACCGTTGGCCCTGTTGTCTTTGTGGTGGTACTGGATTCAGTTTCGGTACTTGATGGGGGAACCATAGTGGAGATCACAGAAATTGAGGTCTCTGCAGATGTCACTGTTGGCCCTGTTGTCTTTGGGGTGGTACTGGATTCAGTTTTGGTACTTGATGAGGGCACCGCAATGGAGATCATAGAAGACGTGGCTTCTGCAGATGCCGTTGTTGCTTCTGTTGTAGACAAAGGCAGCAGGCTTCCTGCTACTTTAAAGTGAAACACATTGTTACTTTCATGCTTTGGACAGAATTTTATTAGATTCTGTTAACTGCAATTTGTTAAAGCAACACGGAAGGTATTATGAATAGCACATTCATGTTTGTTTGAAGATTTCCCTTGGCATGTGTTTCTTGACTTTGTGCATTTGTAATCCCATGGATTACATTTTCCTTTTTCCTTTTTCCTTTTTCCATTTGCAATACCCAATTTTACAACGGACCATTGTTTACCGAGCAAGTTCTCTTGCTAAAACATACGACATTACATTATACAGACAGGGGCCTTTGCTGGTTTCTCTAGTTGCAGCCTCTGGGCCACCGTCAAGGACATCCCCACATGGAATGCTTTGCAGTAGTCAATCCAGGAGGTCTCTGGAGAATGGAGTCCAGGCTATCCTGGTTCAAAAGCAGTTTAAGGTGGGCCTTGACACTCCTAGTCTCAGCACTCGGCCACTTTGGACTCTATTGAGAGGCTGAATCTAGGAATACTTCTAGACCAGTGCTTCCAAAACTTGGGTCACCAGCTGTTTTGGACTGCAGTTCCCATCATCTCTGTGATGGCCTGAGACTCGGGGTCGAACTTGGAGCCCGAGGAGTCTCAGTCCACACTGGATCCTTGGCCTCAGGTGGCAGCTGAACCTAGTCTGAGGCCTGATTCTGAAGAGTCCCAGTCTGCACATGTTCCCCTGCAGGTGCCTGAGCCTGCCCTAGCTCCAGGTGTGGGGATTACCTCTTTGCCTTCAGCTGGGCCATCACTTACAGCTGCTCCACTACCAGTTGGGTCAGGAGAGGCTGAGGCAGCCTCTGGGCCTAGTAACCCACCGACATCTCCCAAGCTGCAGAGACTGAGGTCTGAGAGAAGGAGAGACCTGAGTACTCACAGGAGGAGTGCTCGCTTTTGGGCGAGACAGGGAAGTGAGTCACCGGGGGATCAGGACCAGCCGTTACCCCGACAAAGATAAAAGGCTGCTGGACCCTGCCCCAGGTTGCGGGAGCAACGTTGCTGTTTGCCAGAACCTGCCTGTGATCCTGTGCCTGACCTTGCCTGGTTTCCTGCCTTGGCCCTGGTGGACTGACTCTTCACGGAACCCTTGGATTCGGGACCGGAACTGGACCGCGTTACTTGGGTTACCCCCGGGCCCAGCACAATCTCTGACCACTGGTCTTGCAAGCTAGGGATGATGGGTGTTACAGTCCAAAAACATCTGGAAACCCAAGTTTGGCAAACACTGTCTGAGACTATGTTCTTTCAGGGGTAGTTCATCCTTTCCTGACATAATTCATTCCACCAAATTTTGGTGGAAATGGACCCCCCCACCCCCACTTCTAATTTATCAGGATTCAGCTTAAGTTCACTGGGCCTCAATCCAGTCAATCTCTGGATTAGGCTGTTGGTCCTGATCCATCCAGCTGTTCTTATGGTCTTATGCTTCCAATAACATACACCTGCACAGCCTCTTTTGATTCAGATGCAATGGCGAGTAGGGACTGTTCACATTTAAAGGAAAACTAATTTCCACTTTCTGAAACAATTTTAGTACCGAAACGCAGCCATCTGTACTTATCCAAAATTTGCAATGCAGTTCCCCAACACTAACAAAAAGGCATATATTGAGGGAAAGTGTATGGACAGATTAGTAAAAGTAACATTGTAAAGTTGCAATGCATTAAGGAAAATTGCTGGCAGAAATATGGACATGCGTCAAAACTGCAAGGTAAAAAATATGTTCCATGGGAGAAAGCTACACTAAAAGGCTGGTAGATTTTGACGAGGAATAGAAAAGAATCGCAAACTTCTGCAAAAAGTGGGGAACAGAATTTCAGACTGAAAAAATGAGAAACCTTGAGAATCAAAATGGACAGGTCCTCCTATCACTCTCTGAGCACATCAGACACAACTAAGACTTCACATCCTCCTATATAAATAGGAATATAAGGCTGTTGTCATGCAGAAGTTTGTATGGTCACAGCCAAGATCACAGAAGCCTTCTCCAGCTTGCAAGTGAATTAACCTGAGAAATCCTCTGGTGTGTTTTCCTAGCGTCAAATGGCAGCAACCCGCTCCTTGGCATTTAGCAGGCAAAGGCCAAGCCCTCAACCTTCCGCCATCCAAACTAATCCCATAATGGACAGGGAGAGGAGCCAAGGAGAAATAATCCCTCCCCACTCTTTCCATTGCATCGTGGCAAGGGAAAAGGAAGGAGGAGTGGTGGAGCAAATCCTTCCTTGTTTCAACCCCTGGCAACAGGATAACAGCCTCCACCACATCACTGCATCTGAGGGCAGTGGACTTGCTTGGGGAGCCCAGGGCAGGCACACAAAGGCTATCGATGGCTACTAGCCATGTTGGCTATTACTGGAGCCAGTAATATTTCTGAATACCAGCTGCTGGAAGCCAAAGGAGAGGAGAGTTGCTGTTGTGCTCAGGTCCTCCTTGGAGGTTTCTGTTTGGGACATCTAGTTGGCCACTGTGAGAAAAGGATGCTGGACTAGGTGGGCCATTGGCCTGATCCTGAAGGGCTCTGCTTATGTTCTTACAATAGCTCTGTGCTCTCAACACTTGGGCACTGCCTGCCCCCTGCCACCTGAGTCTGCTGTTACACAGGTCTAACGGTACGGCTGGACCTCTTAGAGATCCAGTAAACTTGGGGGGGAAAGGTGAATCATAGAATCATAGAATGATAGAGTTGGAAGGGACTCCATGGGTCCTCTAGACCAACCCCCTGCAATTCTGGGCTGCATCAATAGGAGTATAGCATCTAGATCAAGGGAAGTAATAGTGCCACTGGCTAAGGCAGAACAGAGTAGGACCATTGCTTCCCTTGATCTGGACACCAGACTTCTGTGGATGCAGCCTAGAGTAGCATTAGCCTTTTTTGCTGCTGCATCACACTGCTGGCTCATGTTCAGCTTGTGATCTTGCAAGATCTCGAGACCTTTTTCACATGTACTGCTAGTTCTACCCGGACACTGAGGTCCAGCGCCAAGGGCCTTCTAGCGGTTCCCTTCCTGCGAGAAGCGAGGTTACAGGGAACCAGGCAGAGGGCCTTCTCGGTAGTGGCGCCTGCCCTGTGGAACGCCCTCCCACCAGATGTCAAAGAGAACAACAACTACCAGACTTTTAGAAGACATCTGAAGGCAGCCCTGCTTAGGGAAGCTTTTAATGTTTGATGTATCACAGTATTTTAATATTCTTTTGGAAGCCGCCCAGAGTGGCTGGGGAAGCCCAGCCAGATGGGCGGGGTATAAATAATATATTATTATTATTATTATTATTATTATTATTATTAGCCAGGAGCTAACATATGAGGTTCCTGCTGCCAGCTGCCCATCTAATGCAGCAATCTGTTCTCACAGTGGCCGCTCAGATGGCTGTAGGGAAACCTGAATGCTGGAGTCCATCACATGAGCAACTCTCCCCTCCTGAAATTTGCAGCAACTGGGATTTCAGCTACAGTGGCAGAGCATTGACACTGTTGATAGATTCACCCAAAGTTTAACCTGAAAAAGGCAACCATGACATGTACGGCTCTTGTTGCGACATTGAATTAACCCTAAGACAACAAAAACATGCCATTTCCTGGTGCCCTTTCCGTTCCCAAACAAATAGCAGAAGGATGCCAGTGAAAACAACCTCGGGAAGGAACGTCCGTCTCAACCCTACACCTCTTCCTCCTTTTTTTATGTGCTCTCAAAGTTCATCATCCCAAACACCTTCCCTTCCAAAAGACAAACCATTGTTTTCTAGACATGGGTGACTGCTCACCTGTCAATAATGGAATGAAAACTCCAAGCTAGGAATTTTCCGTACATTTGGGCCACACTCTAACTATCCCTCCCCCTCTCTAAAAAAAGAGAAAAGAACTTGTGGAAAGAAAGAATAAAATTTACAGCCTGTAATGCCTTGAAAGAGAATATGATGAGAATGATGTAAAGATGGTATATTACACCTGTGAAATTAGCTAGAATGTATAAGACAAATAATAAATGTTGGAAATGTAAAGAAAAAGAAGGAACATTTTACCATATGTGGTGGGAATGTAAGAAAGTAAAAAACTTATGGGAAATGATATATAATGAGATGAAAAAGATGTTGAAATATACATTTTAAAAAAAAACACAGAAGCATTTCTACTTGGTATTACAGGTGAGGATATTAATAGGCAACATGTTAAATTGTTTTTATATGCAACAACAGCGGCAAAAGTATTGATAGCCCAGAAATGGAAGCAAGAAGAGATTCTGACGAAAGAAGAATGGCAGACAAAATTAATGGACTATGCAGAATTAGATAAAATGACAGGAAGGATTCGAAACCTGTGGGACCAGAGATTTACAGAAGATTGGAAGAAATATACGAACTATTTGAAGAGCAACATAATCAAGAAATTGCGTTAGTAGGACTACAAGAAGTTTTGTAAGGAGATATGTATGAAGCATTGCAAATTTAGAGAAAGAATAGTGATATTAGTTATGAGTTAAATGTAATTGTGGAAGTGAGAAATGTATATTTAGTGATTAGATTGGAAAATTTTCAGACGAGATTGATGGAAGGCAAAAAACTGTATAAGATGTTAAAATACGTTTAATTATTGTTGAAAATAATATGTTGAAAATTAATAAAAATTTATATATTAAAAAGAGAAAAGAACAGAACCCTGACACACCCCAGCAAAGATGGCAAAAGATAGATTTTGGTGAATATTTGCAAACTATTCAGCACAGAGGGAGGAAGAGGAGCACTCAGAGCAGGACCTCAATGCTGGAAGGTTCAGCAAAGATCAAAGGAAGTACTCCTTCATGCATAGCTAAACTACGGAACTCACTGCCACAAGAGGCAGTGATAGCTAGCAATTTGTATGGCTTTCAAAGAGGATTGGGAACACTCACAGAGGAGAAGAAGACTATTGATGGCTAATAGCCATGATAGTTACATATTACTTGCAGTACCAGAGATCATCTAACCCTGAATACCTTAAATGGCTCAGGACCACAATACCTCAAGGACCACCTCTTTCCATATGAACCTACCCAGACCCTCCTTTGTGTGCCTCCTCCACGAGAGGTCAGCAACATGAGAACAGGGCCTTTTCTGCAGTGGCTCCCCATTTGTGGAATGCTCTCCCCAGGGAGGTTCAGCCGGTGCCTTCATTATGCGCCTTTAGCTGCCAAAAATGTCCCTCTTCAACCAGGCCTTGGGCTGATTGTTTTGGTTTTGATTATGTATTTTGTGTTTCTATATTGTGATTTCATGTTGTAACCGCCCTGAGACCTGCAGGTGCAGGGGCAGTATTCAAAATTAATAATTAGTAAATTAATTAAAAACTGCAAGTGGGGAGAGTTGCTGTTGCACTCTTGCTTCCCATCAGGGCATTTTGTTGGCCACTGCGAGGACAGGATGAGGGTTTTAGACGGCCTGATCCTGTTCCCATTCTCTTCCGATGTTCTCTGGCACCTTTACGCGGAAGGAGAGGAGGAGCTGTTAAGCAAAGCAAACACCTTGAGAGAGCATCAGGCAGGTTGCTTAATTGGCTGGCTTAATTTCGCCTCCAAGGTCAACAGCTTGTGGCTCACCAGAATATGACAGGTGGTGTCACAGAAGATTAGATCTGCCAGGGGGAGGATCCTCCCTTCCAATGCCTGATCTCAAACAGTTTTGACATTGACTCTGACTAAGACGCAATGGAGAAGAAAATATGTGAAAGAACGCATTTAGCATGCTCCTCCTCAGAGCCAGCTCAGGCCCTTAATGTTCAGTGACCTTTTCCAGACCAAGCAAGTTTGGTCCCTTATCACTAAAAATAGAAAGGACATCTCCGCCGAGGATTAGTTTCTCCTGAGCAATTAAGCATGAGCGCTCAATGGAGCCTCCCCAGTCAAGGCAGTCTACCTCAGAGTCACCCAAAACTGGGGATCAGGCATCAAACCACCCTTGGGATATAATCAATGGGCAGTGTCAAAAAATATAGACAATTTATTAAGAGCGGATGTCACTTCCTACTCTGGGTCCCTCAAGATTCTGTGCTCTGGTAGAAATGGAAAGAAGAAGAAGTTGAGTCGGTACAGCACGAGACTCTTGATCTCAAGGTTGTGGGTTCGAGCCCCAGGTTGGGCCAAAGATTCTTGCATGACCCTCGTGGTCCCTTCCAACTCTACGGTTCTATGATTCTGTGATTCTATTATTTCAACAAAAGAGGAGTGGACTTCTAAAACTACTGGATGATATGTAGATGGCGAAATTGACAGCAAAAGTAAGAGACCCCCAAAAGACGAAATATTTGTGGGAGAGTGGAGACCCTTTTGGAATACCTGAGAAAATGTAATAGCAAATCAAAATCGGAGGCAGGACTAGAAATTTAAGCGAAGGAATGAGAATGAGAAAGGAATATAACGTAGGATATGTATTATAGAAACAAGTATTGCATTTAAGGCAGCAGAGAAAAGGATCTGAGCAGAAACATCATGGAAGTACAGATGGGAAGTCAAAAGGCTAAGGGAAACTGATCTGAATTTGTTAAACTCTACGGAAAGCAATTAAAAAATTATGATTAACAAAGGGGATTCTGTGCTCTGGCCTTCAAGCCATGGCTTCCCCAGAGGCATCAAATGAGCCACAGAGGTAAGGAGCATGATGGACAAGTTTTCCTTCTCCACTACGTCCAAATGGGCTTATCATTGATCATAGAACTACAGAGCTGGAAGGGACCCTAAGAGTCATTGAGTCTAACCTGCTGCAATGCAGCCCTCTTAGCTTATTAATTATGGCTCTGTTCAGAGGCAGGTAAGCGTCGCACCTCCCTCCCTAAGCCAGGCTGAAGCTTCCCGAGCTTTGGGAAGGAGCTGGCAGGGGAAGATTTCGGGGGCTAGCCTGGTCCCCCTAGTCCACTGACCACAGGCCATAGGAGGATATGGTTTACAGAGTAGAGTCGTAGTTGTTTGTCCACAAGAAGGTGAGGACTTTCTTGGTAGAAGCTGGGAACCTATTTCTAAAAAATGTCCTCAGGGCTCTGCCAGCTTTGCCCTGTGCCATCCTCGGCAGGCAACCTTGCCACACCTAGTGCCATCTGAAACGAGACAGAGAGATTCTGCACCGTTGCCCATGAGAGGGTGTGGAAGAGAACCGGAGGAACAGGGAGACTCTCTCAGACCATGCAAAGTTTCAATCACCAGCCAACAAGGGAAACAAAAAATAAATAAATTCCAACCTTAAAAGCACTTGCTGAAATCCGAAACCCATTAATATGCAGTATGTTAATTAACGAATTACCAGTCATTTCACAACGTGCGTTTGCAATCATGTAATTGGTGTTCTGATTCAGACCCTCCAAGTGTCCCTATTTTCCAGGGACAGTCCAGGATTTACAGAAGCCATTCTGGTTTCTGATTTCATCCTGCAATGTCCTGCTTTTTCTTAGGACGTCCCTATTTTCATCAGAGAAATGTTGGAGGGGTATAGAGTTATGCAACCCCCGAGCCAAGGAGATAAGTCACTAGACAACCTTTAGAAAACACCTGTAGGCAGCCCTGTATAGGGAAGTTCTTTAATCTTTAATGTTTTATTATGTTTTTATATATGTTGGAAGCCACCTAGCGTGGCTGGGGCAACCCAGTCAGATGGCCTGGGTACAAATAATAAGATTAGTAGTAGTATGGAATGCTATTCAAAAGTCTTTGACTGTGTCGACCACAGCAAACTATGGCAAGTTCTTAAAGAAATAGGAGTGCCTGATCACCTCATCTGTCTCCTGAGAAATCTCTATGTGGGACAAGAAGCTACAGTTAGAACTGGATATGGAGCAACTGATTGGTTCAAAATTGGGAAAGGAGTACGACAAAGCTGTATATTGTCTCCCTGCTTATTTAATTTATATGCAGAATTCATCATGCGAAAGCCTGGATTGGATTAATCCCAAACTGGAATTAAGATTGCTGGAAGAAATATCAACAACCTCAGATATGCAGATGACACAACTTTGATGGCAGCAAGTGAGGAGGAATTAAAGAATCTTTTATTGAGGGTGAAAGAGGAGAGCGCAAAATATGGTCTGAAGCTCAAAATCAAAAAAAACCCTAAGATCATGGCCACTGGTCCCATCACCTCCTGGCAAATAGAAGGGGAAGAAATGGAGGCAGTGAGAGATTTTACTTTCTTGGGCTCCATGATCACTGCAGATGGTGACAGCAGTCACGAAATTAAAAGACACCTGCTTCTTGGGAGAAAAGCAATGACAAACCTAGACAGCATCTTAAAAGCAGAGACATCACCTTGCCGACAAAGGTCCGTATAGTTAAAGCTATGGTTTTCCCAGTAGTGATGTATGGAAGTGAGAGCTGGACCATAAAGAAGGCTGATCGCCGAAGAATTGATGCTTTTGAATTATGGTGCTGGAGGAGACTCTTGAGAGTCCCATGGACTGCAAGAAGATCAAACCTCTCCATTCTGAAGGAAATCAGCCCTGAGTGCTCACTGGAAGGACAGATCCTGAAGCTGAAGCTGAGGCTCCAATACTTTGGCCACCTCATGAGAAGACTCCCTGGAAAAGACCCTGATGTTGGGAAAGATGGAGGGCACAAGGAGAATGGGACGACAGAGGATGAGATGGTGGGACAGTGTTCTCGAAGGTGCCAACATGAGTTTGACCAAACTGCGGGAGGCAGTGGAAGACAGGAGTGCCTGGCGTGCTCTGGTCCAGAGTCAGACACGACTAAATGACTAAACAACAACATGGAATAGGAAGTCCCTATTTTCATCAGAGAAATGGAGGAGGATATGAAAAAGTCCTTCTTCGTGCAGCACAGAGTTAAACTATGGAACTCACTCCCACAAGAGCCAGGTGTGGCCATCAACTTGAATGGCTTTAAAAGACAAATTTGTGGAGCAGAGAACCATTGATGGTTTATTAGCCATGATAACGATGTTTTGCCTCCATATTTAGATGCAGTAAGTGCTTCTGAATTCCAGCTGCTGGAAGCCCCAGGAGGGGAGAGGGGTCTTGCACTCAGATCCTACTTGCAGGTTTCCCATGGAGGCAACTGGTTGGCCACTGTGAGAACAGGATACTGGACTAGAAGGGCCATTGACCTGATCCAGTAGGCTTCACTTACTTTAGTGCTAACACAAAAAGTATATTTCCTCTTCCTCTCCCACCCTCCACCCCAAAATCTGCTCCGGAGGGTTGGGGAAACTCCCTGAACAAATTTAAGAGGGACACAGTGGATTCACCTGGGAATCATGCAAGGAAAAACCTTCACAGTGACGGCACCTTAGCCACCGTCAAATATCTCAAGTGCTGTCCCGTGAAAGATGGAGCAAGCTTGCCTTTTCCACTCCAGAGGGGGGATCCTGAACTGACGGATCCAAGTTGCAAGAAAGGCAAAATATGTTTATGTATGCCACAACAGCTGCAAGGATACTCCTGGCTCAGAAATGGAACTCCCAACACTGGAAGACTGGCAGGTTAAGATGTGGAGTACGTAGAGATGGCCAAGTTGACGGGGAAGATCGGGAATCAGCGTGACAAACTGTTTCAAAAGGACTGGAACAAATTTATACTTTATATGAAAGAAAATTGTAAACATCTGAAAACATTTGTAGGCTTGAATTGAAATGCTTTGTAATGTAAATATAAGTAACTGATTTACTGATAACAAGGTGAAATATTATAATAAGACAGAAGGTAAACAAGTGATTCTAGAAATGCGAAGAATATAGAAAGGTGTGTGGAAGTCAGAAAGAGGAAGGGAAGGAGGTCCATGCTCTTATAGAGTAATGTATTAAGTTACAGAATTATGTAACAAAATGTGAATATGATAAAAGTGGAAAATCTAATAAAAATCATTTAAAGAAAAGAAAAGAAAAGAAAGGCAATTCCGACTTAACATCTTTCTGGCAGAGAAATCCATTAGGTGGTGGAGGTTGTAACCGAGGAGGTTTTGAAACCGAGGTTTCATGGCCACCTGTCAGAGATTCTGTAGCAATGCAGGGGCTGGATTTGTTGACCCCTGGAGGTCCCTTCCTACTGCACAATTCTATGATCCTCAGTGCTACCCTGAATGCAACCCATAACTCTAAAAAGACCCCCAAAAAGCGACTCACCCAGAAGGTAACACGCAACCGTGTACGCTCCCATCTCATGGAAACTTCGCGAAATTGCACCCCTCTGTCATGAAAGTTGTTTTTCTCCAGTGTGCAGGCGCTGCGAGAATGCCATGCACTGCTTGTGGTTTCTCTCCGACTATGACCACGATGCTTCTGGCTTGGATCAGGTCCTGTCCCCAAGTGCCATCTCCTGCTCACTTGACCAAACCCTTTGTTTGAGGAGCAGGTGTCAGAAGACACACCCATCGCTGCCTCTTAGAGCTCTGCCTTCCCCGCCCTTGATAAGAGGAGTCAAGAGAAACTTTCTGTGTTTTGAAGAAAGGTCATCATTTCCTGGAACATCGATCTGGGACAGTGCAGCATGTGACTCATCGCAAGGGACACTAATCGCCCCAAATATTTGAGCTCTGGAGGGGACGTACTTTGAATGGCGTCTTATTTATTTATTCTACTTTTCCTCCAAGGAGCTCAATGTTCTCCACCTCGTCGAATCCCAACAACAACCTTGCGAGGGAGGTTAGGCTTGAGAGGCAAGAGTTGTTGGCTCCTAAGGTCACGCACAGGGGTTTCCCGCCCCAACCTGGACACAGTGATCCATGCGACAGTCACCTCCTGGCTTGACTACTGTAATTCGCTCTACACAGGGCTGCTCTTGAAACTGTCCTGGAAACTCCAGCGGGTGCAGAATGCAGCAGCAAGGCTCCTTACGGGGTCCCTGCCATGGGAGTGTATTCACCCAGTGCTTTAGCAGTTGCACTGGCGCCCGGTGGAGTATAGGGCCAGGTTTAAGGTGCTGGTTTTGACATTTAAAGACCTTTGTGGCTTAGGGCCCCCGTATTTATGGGACCGCCTCTCCTGCCCTGCCCTGCAGAGGACCTTAAAGTCCATGAATAATCATAGTTTAGAGGTCCAAGGCCCTAAGGAAGTCAGATTATCCTCTACCAGGGCCAGGGCCTTCTCAGTGATGGCTCCAACCTAGTGGAAAACTCTGTCCCATGAGACCAGGGCCCTGCAGG